GGAGTAAAAAGTAAATACATCTCACTCACACATCACACTCACTCGACCCTAAAATTCCCCCACACTATAAAATCATCAATTCCCCTCAGAAAAAAATAATCTTGTCAAAAAGCAACAGTTGTAATATCTGTGAAAAAATAAAATAAAAATAAATAATCAGATCAGAAAGTACAATACAGAGAGCGGCTACGTTTACCAGCGCCCCCGCCATCTAGTGAGGGGCGCGCCAACATAATTAAGTAAAATAACATGTAAATCGCCCTTAGACTTCCACAACAAATCGTCCTGTGAACATCTATGACTAAATAAACATACATCTATCTATACTATGGTTAGGTTAGGTATTAAAAGAGAAATAATCTAGGGTGACTAATCTTCAGGTGGTCCGTATATTCCTCGTATCGACTCTTACCAAAAATAGCTGGGTATAATATTTTGGCGCTGACGGTGGAGAATAAATATTGTAGACGGTGTGTAAAATATTAGTGTTGTTCCAGAAGAGACTAACAGCGTCTCTCACGCCCTCACGCCTAAAGGGAGAGAAATAGAGGCTGTATTTAAGTGTATGAAGGTGTGTTATAAATTATGGCTTCACTTCTTGCAGTTGTAGGAAGCCAGGGTGGGGTGTTAGGCGGCTGTGGGTGGGGTATAGGCGTCTGAGGGTGGGGTGTGGGGGTCTATGGGTGGTAGTGGGTGGTCACAATAGCAGGAAGTTAGGATGTGGGTATCTGTGGGCGGTGGTAATGGGTGGTTAAATCAGCAGGAAGTTAGGGTGTGGGTGTCTGTGGGCGGTGGTAGTGGGTGGTTAAATCAGCAGGAAGTTAGGGTGTGGGTGTGGGTGTGGGTGTGGGCGGTGGTAGTGGGTGGTCATAGAAGCAGAGTAGAAGGAAGCCAGGATCCGGGGTGGGTGTTTTGGTAGGCGAGTGTGTGTGTGTGTAAGGTACAAATTAAAGGTCGCCTGTTACTAGCCCGTCCCCCACGAGGTACTGGCTGCTGCTGGAACCTCGCCTCACCACCACCCCACCCCCCGCCCCACCCCGCCCCACCCCCCGCCCCTCCCCGCCCCCTTTATAATAATATCACTGATAATATTCTTAATCGTGGGACAGACGTAATATCCCTTTGACGGGAAAAAATTTAATCTTTATACGGTGACCATTATCGTTATTGCCTCTTTAAGTATTTCCCCAACACACAAGAGAAACGACAGTATAATTTTGAGAGAGAGTAATTTAATTATTAGTTCTTTAATTATGTAGAATAATCATACAACTGACTGCCATCTATGAGAGGAATAAGGCATGATAGTATTAAATATTATATAGCGTAAATAGTACTGTTTTATATATGTATGAAGATATAATACAATACTATGTAAGGATAAAATAGTATTGTATAGTATTTGTAAAAAGAATCAGTATAGAGTTAAAATTTGGTTTTTTTTTGGTATTCTTCCACTTGTGTTTTCATCTCACGATTCAACCTAACGAAACTTGGCTGATAACCAATACCAAAGTGAACCTAACCTTATATATGACAAAATTCCTGACCTAAGTACTACCATCACCTTTATTTACATAGTACAAATAAAATGATTAGTTGTAGTAGTAGTAGTAGTAACTTTTCATTTGCAATCATAGTACAGTATCTGCCCCTGTCGTTCTTGGCCCCTCCCTCCCTTCCCCTACAGTACAGACTAAAGTCACACTGCCGTTCACCGCTACCTCCTCCCTCTCTCTCTCTCTCTCTCTTCCTGGGTTAACTCGGGGATAATTTACTTGAGATTGCTATGTTAACTTAGTATATTTAACTGTCTTTGCTTATCACCGTATGTTTATTTAGCAATGCTGTGTTAACTGAGACTGCTATGTTAACTTAGTACATTAACTGCCTCTGCTTATCGCCGCAATGCTGTGTTAACTGAGACTACTATGTTAACTCCTTCAGTACATTAATTTCCTCACACATCCGTTGGCTAGATTAACTTCCTGTGTTAACCTGGAAATAATGTTAATCTCTTAGTTAACTTATCTCTGCCTACCTGATATTTTTCATAAAACACACACCTCTGAGTTAACTTAACACGCCCCTTGGTTAACGTAAGACTATGTTGTGTTAACCTGGGAGCCTTGTTAACCTTAGAGTACAAGTTAAAGGGAGCCTGTCAGTCCCCGTTCACCTCTCTCCTCACACACCTACTGGGTTAACGTGACAGTACTGTGTTAACTCTCTCATTCATTAACCTGTTCATGCCATGTTAACTTTCATACTATCGGGTTAACCTAATAAGTACTATGTTAATTTTCACACCCTAATACTATATATATGTTAACTTAACCTAACATTATGCTAAGTTGACATTTGTATGTTAACTTGACAATAGTTTACCTGTGGGTTAACTTAACATCATCTAACCTGAGGATTAACTTAGAATTGTATCTAGATTAACTTCACTGCTCACCCGTAGATTAACTTCACACCTCACCCGTAGATTAACTTCACATCTCACCCATAGATTAACTTCACACCTCACTCGTAGATTAACTTCACTGCTCACCCGTAGATTAACTTCACAACTCACCCGTAGATTAACTTCACAACTCACCCGTAGATTAACTTCACTGCTCACCCGTAGATTAACCTCACATCTCACCCGTAGATTAACCTCACACCTCACCTGTAGATTAACCTCACACCTCACCTGTAGATTAACTTCACAACTCACCCGTAGATTAACTTCACAACTCACCCGTAGATTAACTTCACAACTCACCCGTAGATTAACTTCACTGCTCACCCGTAGATTAACCTCACATCTCACCCGTAGATTAACCTCACACCTCACCTGTAGATTAACTTAACATCTCACCTGTAGATTAACTTCACTCACCTGTGGGTTAACTAGACACTGGTGTTAATAGTAAAGTGTTATTTTAATCCCTACGATACAACCTAAAGAAGACCCGTTCATTGGTGTCTCCTGGTGGCATAGAACCAATGTTAAATTAACTTCTCGTGTACCTTAACTATAAAAATAACATACTTATTATTTAACAATTTATCCTCTCTGAATGTTATCTTGTAATTATAAAAAGATAACACATTGGCTTAAGGATATTTATAACAGTAATGGGATAACATGATAGGTGTGGATATCGTACTATTGATAACATGAGTTAGCCATATATTAAATTGAACAGGTGATAATGATGAAATTAAATTGTGTTAACATTTCTCTAGTTAACCTGCCATCAATTTTAACACGCTAATATCTTCATGCATTTTATCCTTCCTTATTTTACCTATGACCATATATAAATAATATTATTATCTATATGTGTATAATATATAGTTCATTGTAATTTTATTTTATTCATTATATCTTGGTTTTTGTAATCTGTAAACACCGTAAATTACAAAACAACAGTATCACCCAGTCTCCCTTTAAATGTTCTCTAAATTTAAATAAGAAAATTATTAAGTAGAGGGGGGACTTAAAACATTTAGTATATTGGAAAACTCGCTCGCCCTCACTACAAAGATCACCATTACTTTATCGTATTTTGACAGGAAGACTCGTAAAATGTTTATAAAGTATTTGTTTTTCTTTTATTTTATCCTTTCAGGCGGCCACACCATGAGACAGCCTGCACAGTCATCTTCCTCTATTGCAACCTGCACAGCTATCCCCTTGAGGACTATCGCAATAAGAAGGTAAGGAAGGGTGACCCGAGACGCCCCCTTCACCTCTAATTCATTATCTGCTCGTTGCTTACTTATGATGAGACTATAATAATTAATTATTTAAAAATATTTAAAGATAATAAGTGCAGATGCATGGCTCATTATAGTTTAATTGGGTTTTGTGTGTTGTGTGTGTGTGTGTGTGTGTAAATGTGTCTGGAGCTTTATAGTTTACAAGAATAAGTTCATAAACAAGTACTGTATACTGTATAATATTTTTTATTATAATTTAAGCTACTGTGTACTGCCTGCTGATGCTACTGGGTACCGACTGTTGACGTTACTCGGTACTGCCTGCTGACATTACTGGGTACTGACTGCTGAGGGGAAATCCTGGCTGACAGGTAACGTTCCTTTTGACACTCATCAGTATACAGGTATTCCCATATATTGTTGGTTTACTTGGCTAGTTAATTTATCCTGTAATGTTATCACAAAGTTAGGTAAACATTTACGACTAATATTCCCCAAACACCAGCACATGAGCCTAAATCACATGCTGGTGTTTGCAGAGTACTGTACGGTGACTAGATTAGGTTAGGTTATGTTACATTAGGTTAGGTTCTTTTACTTGCTTTTATTTCCACATTTTCCCTCTGCTTTGAAGTGGGTCGTGATTTATCAGAGCTTTAAATAAACTTCTTGTAGTTTACTTGCTTCCTGTAACTTTTAGTCTCTATAGGCTTGTGGTTTACCCATGAACTTTATGTAAACTTTTAAAATGTAATATAAATTGGTTTTGGAAACATTGAAACTTTTTTTTATTATACAGGGTACAGTACTTCAAATAGGAAGATAGGCCATTTCCTCTGCCGGGGATGAGGACCCAACACTGCTAACTGTAGGCCAAACTTAACTGTATTCAGTCTTATGCGATAGAGGTGTAGCACGTGCAACACAAAAGTGAATAAGTGATTGAAATATGAAGGAAAAATGATGAGATAAAATAAAGGGAAGTCGAAATATTTAGAAAAAGAAACTTAGAACTTTACTGTGTCATCTATAACATTGACAGGGATTCAGTCTATCTAAATTAAATGTACTAAGTTTAAATTATGACAATATTGGTGAAGAATTCTGTTCTTAATCATATGGTTAATGCCAGATGATTTATTTATCTCGGGGGGGAACCTATACACAAGGGGTTAATGAGATACAGGTACCATCACTAACTATAAAGGGTCGGGTTACGATATTATGTAATGCACGATGACCCCAGGTAAGATGTTTAAGGTAGAGGGATATAAAGAATAATGTTATATTTCTCTATTTATTCCATATACTGTACATCGTCCAATAATACACTGTACAATAAAACAAACCAGATTTTTCTTGTTCTTCTGAGAGACTGTCAACACTACAGTCTGGGTTACAGTGTGAATACAAAACCAGAATAATATTAAAACTATCACTTTCTAACTCTTACTCATTTCCTATATAATGTATCAATGCCAGTGGTCTTCTTTCAATAACAACCACATCATTAGCTGTAAAAACTTAAAATTCTTCATTATTTCATTACCCACTTAAATGAATTCCCTGCATAAGAATTAAAGTATACATAGTGAGATGATGTACTGTATCAAGTAACAAATACAGTACTGACAATTACCATACACACACACACACACATACTAAAACCTCTTCAACTCTCACATCATGCCACCTGATTTTGAGAGCAGTTGTGCGAAACGATTTGTGATAAAGAGTGTGGAGTCGATGAAACGGTCTACACAGTTGGCAATGCAAGTCTCGGTGCGGGAGTCAAGTTTACTGCCTGGAGACCCAACACACGTCTCCCAGCAGATGTCGTTCATCTTGTGAATCTGAAAAGGAAGGATAGAATTAAGTTTCTTTTCATCTCATCACACATGACTTTAACATACAAACCTATCCACTTAAGTTATTAGCTTTTCAAAACTTCACATATATATATACTGTAATCTTGATAACAATGTACTCTTGATTACACTGTACTCTTGATTATACTGTACTCTTGATTCTACATTCTAAGTATAGAGGCAAGATTGTCATTTAACCTCTTGTGTACGGGCTCCCCTCTGTGCTGAATAAAACCACCAGGCAGTAGTCAAATAAAATATTAAAAATGGCATCCCTGCAGTGACGGAATAGGAGATTCATCCTGAAACTGCATTTGATAACCCAGCATGAATCAAGAGGCTCATGTAAACTATAAAACAAACATCATATACCCCTTGTACTGCATATGAAGATAGAAATCTGTTATATGGAGCATCACACATCTGTATATTACAATAAGGCAGGAAATGAATAGCGAACATTACAGAAGTTTAGTACAAAATTATGAAGACAAGAACATGACCTATCAGTTAAACATCCCAATTGTGAAATATTTAGAAATAATCACAAGCTAAACAAAACACAATTCAATGAACAATGCTTACGGTGATATTTACACAAAACAATGAATTACACATTAAGTGAATACAGTTCATGTTTACATTCAAAAATTATATATAATTCACTACTGTAAATACATGAGAAATATAATGGTGAGGTAGACAAAATTCCCAGAGCAGTTTTGGGAATACAGTACAATCGTCACTTATCTGAAGGCCATATAATTAAGTCATTTTACTCTACGATACCTGTACTTGTTTGTGTTAGAGTGACATTACAATATTAATAATGCAAACCAACATTAACTAGCTCTAACCCTATAACATACAGTAAACAGACCATACTGTCAAGATAAGTTTATTTGGCAGACACTGTAACTGAACCACATCTTTGTTCTGAGGTAAATGGAGGGGTTAGGAAATCAACATAAAGTCCTCTGGCAATCCACTCACCATTGACTGCATCTGTGCCTTCTGTTGCTCCATCATGAGGAAGGACTGTAGCTCCGCATCCTTTCCCCCCGTCCCACCACCACTGCTGCCACCGTCAAAACCTGCAAAATGAAGTCATGTATCAGCTTATGAACCTTTCCACTCCTAAACTCCATCTATATTTTTAGTCACTGCCAAACTGAGATGCTTTTGTGTCTGACCATAATTTGACCTTAAAAATTAATTAAAAGATAATGTTAAAAGCCACAAAACATAATAAAATGAAAAATAAATTTGGTTAGAAGCTAAAATGTTTCTTTAATGATGCAATACATATATATTAACAGTTCCAAGTATACAATCAATGTATACTTGCTCCAAAAAGTATTCTGTGGTGATCACACCACCTCCATATACTGTACTGTATACCTTTGTAAATGAGTGAGTGTACATGTGTAAGGTAATCTTGTACAGTATTTAACAAGTGCAAAATCACAAGTGCTGTTGTTGACATTGGCATAACTGAGAACTTGGTGAAATATCAGAAACTGGTACATGATTTAAGGACAGTAATTTGTCTTTCATAACCAGAACTAAATTTACCTTACTTTCCTAACCTAACCTAAACAATATAGTAAATAATATTAAAGTGAAGCTCAAAGTAGGTTAGGTTAGGTTAAATTAGGTCAGGTTAGGTTAGGTTAAATTAGGTCAGGTCAGGTTAGGTTAGGTTAAATTAGGTCAGGTTAGGTTAAATTAGGTCAGGTCAGGTTAGGATTGATTTAAAAGGCCTTGATAACAGTACCATCATAACTCGTACCTCTCACTACTGTCCTGACCCAACACACACGTGACCAGCCCTGTACTAACACTAAAGGGCTCAAAACATGGCAATAAATCACTGACCAACTGATAAAATGGCTAATAAGTTAAAAAAGAGACGAAATAACATAGAAAATAACAGCATAAATACCAGAACTCGGCGATGCAAATGTGGAGTCGCTGAAGGGAGAGGAGGAGCCTGAGTCAAAGCTGGAGGAGGAGAATGAAGGCTCACTGCTGAATGACTCGAAACTGGAGCTGGAGGAGGAGTTATCATTACTCGAATCTGACGAACTATCACCAAAAAGCCACCCCATCTTCCCTAACAACCTAAGACAACTAGATTAAGACCAATTACACAATCCGGCTCTTGTTAACCTCCTTGGCTGGTTGGCTCCGGCTTTTACCTCTACTGAAACACAAAAACCAGGAACTTTGTTTAATATTAATATTTTTTTATTTATTTGGAAGTTAAATCTTTCTTATATATGTATTTGTAAGTATTGTATCGGCGGGTAATATTTCTTTTGTGTAAATAAATATATAATATGACATTTATCACATATGAGCTCCCCTTTAACGTTGAATTTGGGTTTAATTTTAGCCTTTTATTTGTAAATTTTATCTTTATATTAAAAAAAAGTAAGTATAACACATTTAATAATAACTTTACTTTATTTCTTCATTGCTTTTAGGACTTGATGTTATTTCAGGAAGTTATTTTTGTTTTTATTGTTTCTTATATTATATCTAAGTACAAATGTTGATTATTTTTAGACATTTTCATATTAATATATAATCTAAGTTTATTTGTTATTTATTTTATTTTACTTGTTGCTGTTGGTGGTAATAGTGGAGTGAGTTTATATATTTTTCTGAGACCTTTGTGGCGTATTTTGCGTAATATAATGTGTATTATTTTAGTGAGATAAGACCAGGTGTAGTGTGTCATTAGGGTTATCTTGATATATATATAACTAGTTACCAGACTGAGAGTAATTAATAAGGAAAACTGTTAACAACTGTGTAAAACTGAGACACTAGATGGGCTAAATTTGAGTTGGTTAATTTACAGTGAAATGTTATACTAAAATACACATTATCTCTTGTTTTTGGTTTCCATTGTGTGAGATTTCCCAAGAACTTTAAATTGGTTATTAAGAGGCAATATTTAAGCCGCTGCCTTTGGTGCTTCAGTGATAAAATAAACCAATATTAATTACTGTACCTGATTTTAGCAGCAATGAACCACCGAACGCCCAAGTGTTGGTCAGGTTAGGTTTAGGGTGGGTTAGGTTAGGTTAGGTTAGGGTAGGTTAGGTTAGGGTAGGTTAGGTTAGGGGTTAGGTTAGGGTAGGTTAGTTTAGGGTAGGTTAGGTTAGGTTAGGGTAGGGTAGGTTAGGTTAGGTTAGGGTAGGTTAGGTTAGGTACTGCCAAGTATTGTAATACCTTCACAAACTTTTCAGAAAACATACACTTTCTCGTCTTTTTCACTTGCTTATATTTTCTCTCTCTCTACAGGTCAGCAGTAAAAGCAATAGACCCTGGTTTTCTATGTTAGTTGTGTCTAAAGAAATGCAACATTAATATAACAAGGAAAGGTTTTACTGCACATCTAAAAGCAACAAGAGTGAGTGTGATCCCTATGTATGTAGTGGACCGCGCACACACAAGGAAGAGAAGACTGGCGGACACATTAACTCACGACAATAAATTATCCTCGTTCTACAATGTCTTTTTGTGAAATAAGAAGTAAGGATGGTTCTAGATCATGTTTCATTAGTGTTTAGTTCATATCTTTTATGTAGAGTACTGTAATCTTAAAACTGTATTGTGGTAACACTTGCTGATTACTTAGACTCATTTATGTTGGCTGGAATAAAGAAGATTCTCTGCTATGCCTGGTAGTTAGGGTCAATCACCCCATGTGTAGTTATAGTGTCCAAGTTGATTTTTGTGGATATTTTCTTTAAACATAATCAGACAAATGTTATTATTAGAACCATTCAGTGAGACAAGCCAGTGCCAAAAATATGATAAGCTATTTAAAAGAGGTTGGTATGATATAATGGATGTTACCTATAGGAAGAACTCTGAGGTAGGGAGTGCCACAGTGTTCAGTAGACGGAGGTTCTACAAAATGAATTTAAACATAAAATTTATGGGGTTTCTAAATGGCCCATATAAGCTGATTAAGAGTGTGTGGTGGTATGACTATAGTGCTGTGTTGTGATGAAGCACAATACTCTTGATGCGGTCTAGAAAAAAAAAATCAAAACAATCGATAGTAATGATCATGAGACAAATAACAATGTATACTTCTAGGAATAAAGTATCTCATCACTTTTCTTATTTAGTAAATACTTCTGGGACTTGTATTTACCAGTATATATTTCTTTACCAGTCCAGACCTTTGATGTAATACAGTATTACTTCTCTTGATTTCAGATGTTGTGGAACATTTGAGAGTACTTTGTTTTCCAAGGATGGTGTCACTGGAGAATTTCTCAACACCCAACTTCCAACTTGTGAGTGAAATTCTCCTGTGGCTGATGACGACCGTGGACAGTGATCACGACCACTCCACCGCCATTGACTCTCAACAGGACCGTGTTTTTTTTATCCGCTTGGCTGCTTTGTTTTTTGTACGTATTTTCCTTGTTTATACGACAATGATATTAGACAATTCAGTATACAGTATTACCCCGCTTAACGCGGTTTCACTTAACGTGATTTCTCATATACGCGGTGCCTCGCCAGAACCGAACTTTCACTTAACGCGGTTCATCTACTCATATACGCGGGAAGCGGCGCGGGCAGGATGCGCACAAGGTCGCCCAGTCATCAAAACATTACCGAGTTCTTTACCCGCCACCCACCACAGCCGGCCCAAGTCAGTAATCGTGATAATTATAGTGAGGATATGGACTTATATGGACTTTGAGGGGTTTGACAAAGAGGCCCTGCAAGCCTCTGTGGTGGATAGTGATGCAATTGATACAAGTGATACAGGTGAGGGCCAATAATCTGCCCTCTGCCTCGGAACCAATCCCCCATCCCCGTGTGCCCAGCCATCTTTTCTACTAATGTAAGTGTTAAAAAACCTAATATTATTGATATTTCTCTTAATTATTAATTGTGTGTGCATACCATCATAAAGTTAAGATAATATTTTTACTACAACATAGTTGTGTGTCGTCAAAAAGTCGAGTTTGGGAGTCGGGCCAGTCTCTATTGGAATTAATCCCATATGTTCTGTTGTTCACTTAACGCGGTTTTCACTTAACACGGTACCCTGTGGGTTCAATTGACCGCGTTAAGCGGGGTGCTACTGTATATTAAATCTATTCACAAGTATCTTTAGAATAATAAAAAGTATAGTTACAGCTGCTCTTTCTTTTGGAACTACAGATGTGTACTGTAAATATTACTGTCAGTGACATTAAAACACAGCTGTGATGTCCCCATAAACCAGGCAGTGATCTTATATCATGTACAGTACTTCCTAAATGTGTTCCTCTTCATCCTTCCATCTCTGGTCTCTCTCTCTCCCTACTGTCCACTGCTGAGTTATGGTAAGAGAGAGAGGAAAGGAAGGCTAGTAAAACGAAAGTCTATTTGTCTGGTTTTGATTTAGGCCACTATGCAGCCTGGTAGGAAGAGGCTTACAAAAATAAAATAACAATAGATCATAAGGAACACTGACCTTACTGAATGGAATGTTTTTATTTTTACATCTTCCTTTCATTATAATATTTGCCTCTCTTGCAGTATAAAAAATTAGGAGTACAGTTGAACATGGTGAGGCTGTATGGTGCAGATAAGCTGGCAGCACGAGAGTTACTGAAGATCACAAACTGTCTCTACGAAGCTTCACAGGCAGCCATACACCCCAGGATAGACAGTGAAGATCGACCTGAAATCAGTGGTACTTCACCTGTTGTATCAGTCAAGGTGAGTCGTGACTGCTGGTCTACGTCGTCAGTTAATTAATTAAAAACTTCAGCCACTAATACATTATGCTGTAAACACAAAATGGCTGTAAAATGTTATTGATGAAAAATTGTCAGAACCATTGTTTTAGTATTGTGTTGGATTCTCATATGTTCCCTACTGTCTGGTATGTAATGTACAGGTATCCCCCAATTTACGGAAGGGTTGTATTCCTGGGAACCCTAACGTAAATCAAATGAACGTAAATCGGGAGCCTTATAACATGGGTTTCAAAGGGGTACGTTCTTGGCCCCTCTGACATAGACTTGTATCACAGAAAAAGCTCTGCTACGCTAATTAAATAAATACTGTACCAAAAAATTAAACATCGCTCATCACATTAATCATAACAAGCTGGGTCCTTCACCTCTCTCATGCCACTTAACACTGGCTTTCTTAGGGGTGGATGACTCAGCATCACACTTGTTAGCCATTTTCAAGCTTATTAGTCACTTAACCGTCACCAAAGCAGAACAGAATATTTTTTATTTTGGATTACAATATACAGTGCTGTACTATTTCAGGAACTTCGTGAAGCTCGTCAGCTTGCATCCAGCATCATCATGGATGCCGCCTCTCTCTGTGACTCCCTTCGGAAGGAATGTGATGATAAGGTAAGGATTAAATATTTTTGTCTAGCTAAAGTATGTACAGTACAGTACCTGTAATCCCACAGTGTTTATACTCTGATGCAAGTATGAAGTTCTCATTTACTTCCTAAGGAATCAGAAAAAACACTCATATACAAACTTGAAAACAATAACATACATTTATAATATATTTGGTGATATTTGATTATAGTTATTCTCATTCACAATGACAGCATGTTGTGTATTTTAAGAGAAGAACCCCACAATGGTAGAGGAAATGTTGTTGCTAAAACTGTTTGGATGAAACATTTTGTTGGTCATTTTGAGTTTCTTTTCTTACATTGTTGTTTACTTCATGGTGACCCCCAGCCGTCATATTACACATTGCCTCGTGTTAATAAAGTAGGAAGGAATGGAAGCAGATTCTGGGTAAAAATTCCAGAGTTCATATGAAATGTGGCCCACTTGACTAAGACTTGCCCCTGTGTGCTGGGTCTGTTGCACATAATGTTACAAGTTGTGCTAAATACAACCAGTAGTTAGTCACCTTTTCATCAGGCAATTCAACTGAATAGTAATTATCTTTTAGTTCTATTTTTGTTTTCCTAGATAAAGCGAACAGCAGCACTGGATCAGGCATTAGATCTGGACTCCATGGAGGCATCAGTTGTGGCTGCTCTGCATGCTCTGGCCTCCACTGTGACAGAAATCAAGGAGGCCACTGAATGCCTCGTAAGACAACAAGAAGAGGTAAAAGACTTTGTTTTAGTGGATATTATATAATGGAATTTTTCACTTCTTAATCCCTACCAAATGGTTGTGGATGTTCAGTAATAGAGAGATATAGGAAACACTTTGCTTATAAATTAAGCAAATGAGTGTTGCTAACTTTGCAGGTTGTGGAGAAGATGCACAAGAAGAACGACTCTTTAATGAGGAACCAGAAGAGGTTGGAGGCCCTTATGAAGATTAAGTAAGTAATAGTTATATTTTTGTCTTTTAACTTCTCTCGGATGTTTTTCTCCTCAGTTCTCTCAAGGTTAACCGAGTATCTCTTACACTCATGCATTTATGCCGCTAAAGAGAATGAGATAGAGAGAGAGGGAGATAAAATGAAAGAGAGAATGAGAGAGAGAAAATGAAAGAGGATGAGAGAGAAAATGAGAGAATGAGAGAGAATCAAAGAAAGAGAGAATGAAAAAGAGAGAGAATGACAGAGAGAAAGAGAGAGAGACAATAAAAAAATATACAAAACTTTCTCATCACTTTAACTTTGTTGTGCTTTACAGGGTTTTAAGTTTTCTATGTTATGTCGCTGGAATAGTTGACTCCTTCACTACCGGACGTCACTCTTACGCCAGATGATATCACTCACCAAAGAGAGATCCCACACTCAGGAGGTTATTATATTATCTCCATTACTTTATATAGACTTTTGAGGAATAAAACATAGAATATGAAATATAATTAAACATCAGATATTTAACTTATAATAAACATATCAGCAGGTAAAGAGTTTAGTTACCAGAAGCAACTTTTCGACTGTATACAATATTTTAATCCTATATTGACTTTAGAGGGCAAGTATTTGTTTATTTTTCGCTTAGCTCCCAACACTAAAGGTTCAGTGGAGTAAAAAGTATATCGTGCAGGGCTATACAGTAACACCCCTATATGAAGAAGAAAGTCCATTATATCGAGGGTTCGTTAAGTGTGAAACCTCCAACTCACGAACTGTATGGAGATGACGGTCTGTTATATCGAGGGTTCAATAGGTGAAGCCCTCCCCCCCCACCTTAGGGATTATACAATGAGAGAAGTTCCACTGTACTTAACTAATGATTTGCTGTAGTTATGTCCTATTACACGGTGCTGATACTCTACAGGCTACACCATCGGAGCTACAGGAACATCTACTGTATTATTATTAAGGTAGCACTACTGTAGTTTACAATAATTCACTTGTTTGATAATTTTTTTACTATCTAATTATGATACTGGTAATAATTCTGTTTGATGCATGTTGGGAGATATTTTGTGACTGAAAATGTTTTGGTCTAATAAGCATCTATAAAATACTATATCTTCGCTGTCATAAAGAAATGTTTCCAGGGTCTTACATACAGTACCAGTATAACTAACGTCATGGGAAACCTTTAATTTAATCCCCATAGACGGAGGTTCAAGTTGCTGATGTTTGTTGGCTCACGTGTTTGATTTGATATTACTGTACCTGCACGGTGTTCTTAAACTGTAGAGTAGAATAAGAAAAGAACGGCACAAAGCACAAAATCAGATGGATCTTATTTTAGTTTCCAGTAGTTTTTCCACTTGTGTGCCACATATTCACATTGTTCTGTATGGTGTTTTATGTAACTATTACTGTACTGTATTATCAGTTCTGGCATTCCTCAGTATTAGCACCAACTCTTTTTAATGTTACACTTGAGTCATCTTCCACTGACATACAACTTCTGTATGTCCTTCACTCTCACTGCCACCGCCTCACAGCATTAAAGCTATCAGACTGAGCAGCAATTATAACCTTACACAAAAATTCCCAGCACTGTACATTCACCGGGAGGGAAATAATAATGTTTAGTGGTGTGATCTAAATTAATTATTCTTCCTGAGAAATTTTGAATTTCAGAGTAACCATCGATAAAAACTAGATTTTAATTTAAATCATTATTTTTTTCACTGATATTAATTGGATGGAATATATGTAGGTACTGTATATTGAAATATTTCCAGTTGTGCTAATTATTTACTGACATGTTTATGTGTTTATCTGAAGACCAGCCTGGCAAACAGAATTTGATCAAGAAGAGGCAGAGCTACGGACGATGTGGGACGAGTACATCACCAAACACAAGAACTTAGAGTACCTTGAACAGCAGCTAGACCAGCTGGAGAAGCAGCAGTGGCAGCGACTACAACAACAGCTGGTAATATTTTTGGTGCAGTGTTTCTTGTTATTCTGGTACACATTACACATCATCACCTCACCAGTCTGTCATCTGGCTCAACGATTATCTCCCTCCCTCATACTACACCAGGTCTAACACACTTATATAAGAATCATTTAAGGTCAAAAGCAGTGTTCCCCCTAAGATACACAGGTCAGTCAAGCACCACACACTAAACTTTTCCAGCCACTCATATCATCAGTGACTTGTCTTCTCTTTTTCATATTAAATAAAGATCTTAAGGAGCTCACCTGTTAATTATCTCTTGTTTTATTATTCTTTCTATTTCTTGTATATCTGTGGTAACTTAAGAACAAGTACACAGTAAACACATTGTACAGCTGTTTTGTTTCTACTGGTGGCACACATCCACACATTGTTCTAATATTGGTGCATATTTTTTATCATGTGATGTCAGTTGAGGGAGACCTGTAGGATACCTAAGAGAACATTCCTGCAGTTTCACCAATGATATATTTGAAGCCAGGGACTTACCATGCACACAAGCTTTATGTCTACACACAGCCAATTATTGATGAAGAAGTCACCCACAGATGTGTTATAACATAAGAATGGAGGAAACTGCAGTCGGCCTATTGGCCCATACTGGGCAGTCCCATTTACACCCAACCCCTATTGCTCATATAAGCATCCAACCTATGTTTGAAGCTATTCAGCGTATTAGAGTTAATGATGATATTTGGTAACTTGTCCACAACTCAATTTCCAAACCAATGTTTACCTATTTTGCGCCTAAATCTAAATTTGTTTAATTTAAAACCAGTGTTACGAGTTCGCTCCTGGTTGGATAGTTTGAGTACCTTTATAATGTCCCCTTTGTTTAGCCTGGACTTCCATTTTTACACCTCTATCATATCGCCCCTCACTCTACGTCTCTCGAGGGAGTGCAAATTAAGATGCTTTAACCTGTCTCTGTACTCAAGGTTCCTAATACCTGGGAGTAGTCTTGTCATTCTCTAAATTCTTTCCAAGGATTCTATATCTATTGCTTTCCAACAGTGAACTGTACAATATACTGTAATTATTTTGGATGTGGTTTACAGGATACAGCAACTAGAAGGGGCACTGAGGCAGCCATTATTGGTATATCAGCACCAAGAGCAACTAAATCCAATGTCCAGGAAACCTTAGCAACAAGTATGTTCAAAAAATTATTTGTTTCTACTTTAAATGCTGATTTTTTTTCGTTCAAGCCTTTACCTGCAGCAATGTAGAGCGGCCAGAATAAAGAACACACACACACGTTTCATTTTGGTGTATAATAAAGAGGATTTTTTCCTCTCTCTCTCCTGCTCCACAACATGGCAGCTGAAAAGTCAAGAGTAATACACTTTTATTTATTTTTTATTGTGATAACTTCTTCAACATTTAGAATTGTAGTAATATATTACATTATTCTTCAGTAGTTTACAGGGTGTTGTACTGTCATAGTTGTGTACAATTATATTGACTGTTATTTTCACATATTGGATCAGTCTATGAAGATTACAGGAGCTGCATGAGGGATATTATTTGACTGGGTGTCTGTTGTGCTCCAGGCTGCCGTGTGTTTGGTAGTATGACGGGGGAAAATTTAGGATCATCGGACGACTCGGACTCCATAGACTCCATCCTGGTTGATTCAGGAAGTGAAGGTGACAGTTTAACTCTCATGTCAGCAGCACCACAAGAAGCTTCTGTTGTATCTGAAGGACCATTAAAAGGAGCTCCAATATTGAAGACACAGCCGGTAGATTCTCCATCAATGAGGCCAGCTTCTACAAGACCATCACTTCCTCACTCTCCTTCAGCTCGACCCAAATCCAGCCAAATGGGTCCGAGGGAAAGTAGTTTAACAGCCTGGACGGGTGTAAGAGGCAGTGGACGAGTGTCTCCCTTGTCGGCTTCAGAAGATAACAGTGATGATGCTTTTTAGATCATAGACTAAGGACATTAAGCTTATTTTTATACAGTAGGTGTTTTCATACATGTTACCTGTTGGCCTCTCTGATTAATACTGTAGGTGTCTCTGTTTTCATATATTTTACCTGTTGGCCTCTGATTAACACTGTAGGTATCTCTGTTTTCCTGTATCTGTTAACCTCTGGTATATGCAGTACTGTAGGTGCCTTTCAAGTCTTACCAAAAGTACAAAATATGTGTAAAAATATTGTAGTATACTAAAAATGGATCTTCCTTCTAAAACTCAAGATGCCAAATGTCTTGCAGGTGATTGTTTTTTCTATAACTAAATTTTTTTGTTTATCATTAGATTAAGCAAAAGGAGAACACATATATTTTTTAAATTATGTAATGTACAGTACGACTAGTCATGGCTTGTCTGTACATTGGTTTAAAATAAATAAATCAATAGTAAATCTGACTCCCAGTAAGTATAGACATTATTTGACTGCAATACTTAATGTCAGGCTGAGAGCTCTACAAGGTCTAATATGGAGAAAGTTTTAAGTTTAGTTGTGACACTTTATATCACCTTTACTCTCACCATATAATTAATACATACCATAAACTACCATAAGAATATATTGTGTTGAAAATTAATTAAGTTAAATAAAACTTTTTGGATTTCATGAAGATTGGGCGCCCTGCTTATTTTACTTGATAATTGAAAGCCAAAATGCTTACCTTGCCAAACCAAACTTAACGGACCCTTGATATAATGGAGTTTCACCTCAATATACAGTAGTTCGTTAAATAGAGGTTTCGTTGTACACCCCATAAAAAATTATTCGTCAGCCGTGTCATATTGTATCACGCCGTAAAGGTGCCGAATAATTTTTTAATGTATGAGTTGGAAATGCCTGAGTAATGCCTGAGTACTGACCCAAACTGTCATACAGCACTAAGACAGGTTTGTGATGAACAGTACGAGGAGCTAAAATATACCCTGATACTCCTCCACAGATCAATTCATGAAGTAATTTTTCCAACATTATAAATCGCACAGAAACGGTGAGGAAAACAGACTTTTAAACCAAACCATTTATTCTTTACTATTAATAAATATTTTTTTTTTGTATACAGTATTTATTTCTTCCTATGGGACATCAAAACAAAGCTATGACAGTAAGAGTTTTATTATCCAACACCTGACTAACCAGAAAGGTCCTGTATCGAGAATTTCTTTTACAGCATCTCTCAATACTTCAACCTCCAATGCCTAAATACTGTAGTGACTAAATTTGTCTAAAATGTTTGACTTATAAATGATTCTGTACAGGTTATGTTTTGTTATAATGCTGAATAATATTTAAGACTGGCATTATTGTAAACAGTTATTAAAATACTGTACTTACTGTAATATGCTGTCCAATAGTTTTCATTATACTGGAATAACTATGAGAAACGTTCTTGCAATTTGCTGTAGATGCTAGACACAGTACAGTAATTGACAATAAAACTCTTGCTGTATTTTTAAGTCTTCATAATATTCCTGAAGTTCACATCAAAAGAAACTTAACAATATAATCTCTCCCCATTTCAGAGAACAGATTCCCTCCGGGCTTACCATTACTGTACCTATTACAAGAGGAAAATTTCTTGCACTGTACTCAGGTTTGTGAAATCACCGCCCCTCCAGCTGTTTTTCTCGCGTTAACACTGCATCATCAAACTTGATCATGAACGTTGTACCTTTATGCCACAGTGCTGTCACCTTTGCCGGCTGAAAAGAAAATTCAAAATCCTTATAATAAATCTGATCACCTAAAAAAAAACCACTTGAATAGTTAATTAAGGATGATGCAAAGCAGACAACACTAGGAAGAGTTTGTGAAATTGGAAGACTGATGGAGTGAGACAAGTGACAACCCGACCAATACTCCCTCTGAGCTGTGTGGCCGTGCAATTGTCCATCAAGTGTCACACATTTACATTTTCCCGCCGTGCACATCATCAGAGACTGATACACATCTCTTCAGTCTGGGATAGAGAAGGACATGTGGCCATGAGGTAACTATATTTTTATTTAGTTTTCTGTAATATTAACACCATTTGCTGGGTATAATGGTTGTGTTCTGATGAAAGTGCAGTACAGTTATCATTTTTTTTTGGTCTCGACTGGTGGGGGAGGCCCAGATCTTGCAAATAAAGAAATTAAATGTGTGAACTACAAATGTGCATGTGAATGATGGGTCAATTTGCCCAGGGCCCAAATATGTCACCCCAACAGACGAACAGTTGCTATCCCAGACTTGCGATGAACAGGAAAAACATTAAAAAAATTTACTTATGAATAAAGACAACATATAATATCAATTCTACTTCAACAATGACACCTTATCTATGGTGTTCTTAGCCAACCATCCTTAGTGTCACAATGGGGATAAACGAAGGTTATTTAGTGAACAAACTGGAGGGGGGGGGCTTGAGGATCAGTACTTGTGACTTCAAACATAACTCCTTTTCTAAAATTGACGATGACGAAGAGACTGAAAATCAAGGCAGGTTGGGTAGAAGTGATTCTTGATGACCTCCTGCCTCTTATGGCAATTTTATGTTCTGCATTTCCTCCACTTAGAAACAATGAGTGTGTTGGGGAGAACTTGGTGACTTGATTACTGTACTGTATCTAAAATAAATTAACTAATTGGCTTCACTGCTATAAACGTCTTCAGCCAAGAACCTAGGCACCCTGAATAAGGCTTTAGGGAGTATGCTGAGAAAATATAGTAATGGAACTTACAAATCCCGTTGAATTGAGGACAGACTCAATGATGCCAGCTATGAACGCGGCGCAGTTGATGGAACTCTTGTCTCGAGGCACGGATATGAAGCGGTTGACGAGCGGCTCCTTCTCTATGAGGTAGTAAATGCGCTCGTCGTCCGTCGCTCGGTCCAACTTGTCCGCCTCTTTACCAAACAGTGACTGCAAAGAATAAATATATTAAACTACCAAGTCATCATCACAGAGCAGTCATTTTTGTCCAACTTCTGAATTGTCTTAAGATATAATACTGTGATGACCTGACCTAACCCATCTTAACCTAACTGACACTCCTGCACGAATCACTAAAGAAGGTTATTACAGTAAAACCTCAACGAACTAAATGGAGATGTATGTCCATTATATCGAGGATCCATTAGAAGTAAAACTCGCCCCTCTCAAGGATTATCTGGAGAGAGAGAAAGAGAGGTCAGTTATATGGAGGTTTTACCGTACTTTATAAGATTTAGCCACCGTACGATTTAATTTTTACCTTCCACAATGTTCCCTTTACGAAAAGCAGAATGTTAAGTAGTTTCGTCTCTCTCTTGTAGTTGCGTTCCCTCACAAACAGCAGTTCCACCATCCTCACGCCCACTCGTTGACCTAACTCGGACAATCTGCCGACAACAACAACAAACATCATAAGGAAAAAAAGGAAAAGGGATCACGTAAAAGGCTATGTAAACCCCCCCCCCCAACACACCCCCAGATTATTTACACTAGGGTTGCCATACATCCGTATTTTCCCGGACATGTTCTCCATTTAGGTCTCGAAATCTTCATCCGGAAGTAATTTTTAAAATTCTTCAAAAGTCCGGAATTTCAGCTTCCATCATTTTCTCCACGGAAAAAACATGAAACTGTAATGACGAGAGAGAGAGAGACTGAGAGAGGGGAGGTGGATACCGTAGAGATCTCGTTCAGTTTTCGTCAGCTGATAAGTCACGTGTACGCTGTACGGTGTTGTCAACTTAGCTGTCAAATATTTGATTGATAAGGGGGTAGAAGTTGATGATGTGAAGTGTTTTGACCAAGTTAGTAACCTGAAGCAGTTTGTGGAAAATTACAAGAGTGATGAAGAATTTAGAAATCTGCCAACACATTAAAAAGTAGACGAGATACTTTGAAAAATCAAAGAACATTGAATGCCACTCAGAATTGCTAAGAATTGCACAATTCTTCTTTGCTATATCATCTCACAATGCAAATGTAGACAGAGTTTTTTCACTGATGCAAAGTCAATGGACAAAGGAAAGAAACAAATTGAGTGTTGAAACAATGAAAGGCATTCTGACTGTACAGTACAGCTTCCGAGAAACATCTTGCAGTGACTTGTATACCTTTCTAAAGAGCAATCAGCCAATACTGAAAAAGATCCGATCTACAGAAAAGTATGCATGGGCACATTAAGTCACACACACAGTGGGGGAAGAAGACTGCAGCTAAGGGAATGAAGATATTCAGCCTTAAGCAAAGGTAATTTTTTTTTTAAGATTTCTATACCATGTATGTTGTATATCAGCCTACATTAAAAACATAATGCAATACAGGCTTATAGCGCTAAAGTGTGTGGGGGCAGGATGTTTTCGGGAACGTCCTCTTTTTTTAATGTTCACATGTCAACCAACCCAAATTTACACCCGTGGATAAAATGAGTCTAATGCTACCTGGAGAGGGTTAGCTTAGGTTAAGGTTAGTTTAGGTTAAGTTGGGTAAGGGTTAGGTTGAGTATTAGGTAAGATAAAGTTGGCTTACATGAAGTTAGGTTAGGTAATTTTAGGTCAGGTATGATTAGGTTAGGTTCAATTAGGTTAAGTTCAATTGGGTCAGGTTAGGTTCAGTTGGGTTAGGTTAGTGATAGGGAGTTTATTTATCATGGAAAATAAGATAAATCATAAGTACTGTACATTCAGATAAGTACACACAGTCTGTTTATACACACACTTTTAATCACATTAGTTAGTATAGTGTATACATAGGTAATACTTTATATAAATAGAGAGAGAGGGAAAGGAGGTGAGAAGAGAGGGAAAGGAGGTGAGAAGAGAGGGAAAGGAGGTGAGAAGAGAGGGAAAGGAGATAAGAAGAGAGGGAAAGCAGGTGAGAAGAGAGGGAAAGCAGGTGAGAAGAGAGGGAAAGGAGATAAGAAGAGAGGGAAAGCAGGTGAGAAGAGAGGGAAAGGAGGTGAGAAGAGAGGGAAAGGAGGTGAGAAGAGAGGGAAAGGAGGTGAGAAGAGAGGGAAAGGAGGTGAGAAGAGAGGGAAAGGAGGTGAGAAGAGAGGGAAAGGAGATAAGAAGAGAGGGAAAGCAGGTGAGAAGAGAGGGAAAAAAAAAGAGATGAGAGAACGTTTACTTGTTATGCAGCTCGTTAACACTGGTGACGCGGTTGTGGGAGTACTGGACCATCTCGGAGAAGAGCAAGGCATAAGCTGTCAGGCTAACCTCTGTCCTACCCCGGCTCAGGGATTTGTCAAGGATACTAGGACGCTGTTTGCTTCCACTCATAGTCACCGTAAGTCACCACTGCAATACAAACAGGAAATTTACTCTACTGTGCTATCGAAGACATCCACTACACTAGTAAGATACTGCTTCATTCTATAATTTATCAGTCATAAAAAAGTTACCTACCTTATTAACCTAACCCAAAATATTACTGTTATCTTTTAATTTAATCTTATCGTGGGGTTGTTGTTGTTATGGGATAAGAAAGTTTTTATCTGCTGTGGAGAAATTTACATAAGTTGGTGATAGAGGCACAGTGCAGTCAGCAAGTATTACTCAGCTTCTACAATTCTTTTCATAAGGTAACTGCTTCACCTTAACTACCACCTGCCAGAACTATTATTATCTGCAGGAGTTTGTGTACAACTAAAGGTGGAGGGGAGAGAGGATGCTATAGGGGGCTCGTATGAATGAAAAGTAAAAGTTGTGGTGCCTGGAAAGACTTATAATCTGAGAGGACTGGTAAAGATTATAAAGACACCCTGAAATGTTATAATAGAGAGCCATTGTTACACCTAACTGAGTGTACAGTACAGTATATTGGTAGTACAGTTTACACGTAATACAGTATTCACACCTGATGAACAAACAGGAATTTGTTTGATAAATCCTGTTGTGATATAAAGTAAATTGAACAGACAATCCTCGATGGTAGTAGTCACAAGTAGTAGTGGTTATGGTAGTGGTTATGGTAGTTATGGGGCGTCACTACAGCTGTTGAACATAAACACTACACCACTGCCAGACGTATTGTCGAGGGGAAACAATCTATGTACTTACTTTTACAGCCTAATTATTGATAGACTTTATGTATATTAACCTACTTACACACTTAAAGACCCTAGATGCTGAAGCTAGAAATAATATAACGTCATGTCAATCTACAGTATACGTATTGAAATATAACAGAATAGAATAAAGTACAATGAGTATAAGCTGTTGTTACACCCAATCATTGTCACTCATAATCTCTTATATCTGTCCAAGCTCCAACCTTTATTTATTTCACGAGTACAGTAGTTCAAGGTAATGGTGATATTTAGTAACTTATCTTTTGAAATAGTCTTTTTATAGGGTGTAGTTCTTATCCATTAACTATCCTCTACAAGTCTACATGAAACTTCTGATCACATAAAGATTAGCTCCCTCCTAGCTTATTTCAGCCAATAATAATAATATATATTTAGTATAGAGTATACAGGCATACAGTTCAGCTTGTGTATAGAGTATAGTCAGATATACGTGGTGAGTGGAAAGAAGAACAAATCGCCACATCTGGGAAGAAAGTGCGTTATGTTAGGTAATACTTTTCTTCTAATGTAATCTCACTAGGCTATCCAGACTCCAGAATACCTTGGCAGATGTGCATGTGTGTGGGTGGTAGCAGTGTGTGTGGTGTGGAATATATATACTGTCAGTTATTGCTTTAGTGAGTGAAGGTTATTTACACACGATATATTATGAAATCTGACTGTGAACACGTGATGTCTTGTGTGGTCATCTATTTTGTTCTCTTGGCCAGTGATTAGTCTGTTTGGTCATACTGTTGTTAAGTGGAGTTTGGAGTAAGTTTAGTACAGTAGTTTGCAAATAGCCAAGTAAGTTTAATTAAGTAGATATAGTATTTTAAATTCGAGAAAATGAGAAACGATCTGTGAGGTCTCCTGAGGTGGATACAAATTATAAAATCGTCTGCCAGTCTAAATAATGTATAAAGTGAAGAAATAGCCTGGAAAGAGTTCACAGTGATGATAATAATAACAAATTATAATAAAATAATAATAACAATAGCAAAATAATGATAACAATATCAATACTAATAATAATAATAATAATAATAATAATTATTATTATTATTATTATCTCCAAGTCACTCGAGTCAGCTCAGGTAACTCGGCTGATGTTGTTGTAAAGGCTGGAGGTGGAGGTGGTTGGTCACGGTTATCAGCAGGAATAAGTAGCTATGAGGCAACAGCCAGCATCACTAATCCAGTAGAACAGTGAGGAGGAGGTGGACATACCACGGTAAGAGCTCCATAATAAGTCAAGTATAGAGAGAAAATGAAATTAATAAGACATTTATTATTAAAGGCTGACTGTGAAGAGCTGCCGAAGGATCTCTGTGAGCTCAAAGAATGGTTGAAGAAATGGCTGCTGAGATTCAATATCACGAAGTGTAAGAGGCTGCACCTGGGACACCAATGGAAATGATGCAGTTTACACCAACCACATAATTCCAGAATTCACTACACTCAATCGATAGAACTATTTTTTCTATGATCATTTTCTTATATTACACTTCAGTCGCAAATTGATAATAAGGAAGTTATTGAATTAAAAAAATATATAATCAGAGAACTTAACCTAACCTCATGTGCCCAGTACTTGCCAACAGTGCGTAACGGAGACGTGACCGATTACCTAAGTAGCTAACGAGCTGATCAGTGGTGAAGAGGATAAAGGTAAACAGTATAGGTGAGGTGATGTACTATCAGTAGATTACGCTCCCTCTTCTTCTCTCCTGCCTTCTCCTTGCCTCCGTTCTTACCTCCCTTCTTCGGTATTTTTATAGTAGTTCACACAACATTCCTACTGTACCCCTAATCTATTATCATATTCGAATAAGACGTCTAATTATAAGATAATTTTCTTCTACTACATTACCGTCGGAAACGTATAATAACGGAGATAGTGCAAGCCAGATCTTCTCGATTTAATTCCATTAAACTTCCCTTCATAAATCGTCTTGGCCGTGAGAGCTAGGTCAGGTCAGGTCAGGTCAGGTCATCAAAAAAAGGTTAGGTTTATTTGTTTTTCTAGTGTTTTTAGGTGTGTTTTGTATTCACTTGGCCATGATTTTTTGTCGGAAAACGCTTGTTTCTCTCCCCCGCCCTAAACCCCGGTTCCCAACAGGATTTTCTCTCTTGTTGGGGGTAGAAGGGGGCGATAACTAAAAAACAGGCAATTTCCGACAAACCTAACCTAACCTAACCAATCAAAACACTAGAAAAACATAGTTTTGACTTTCTACAAAGTTGTGTGAACTACTATAAATTTACCCCTTGTTCCCTTATCCGTTCTCCCCTCTCCCTTCTTACCTGGGTTATTTCACGTGATTGTACAACCTGAACTGACCTGTTGGGTTAGGTTAGATTAATGTTCAGGTGATATACAGTAACGTAGGGGCTAATTTCAGGAGATTTGATAACGTCTGCCCCACAAGGGGTCATAGATCAAGGTTGAAGAAGCCACAAGTCCAGAAAAGTGCGAGTGGTAACTCTTTCAGAATGAGAGTTGTGAACTCCTGGAACAATCTGCCAGAGAATGTTGTGATGGCACCGAGTGTGAGCTCATTCAGGGCCAGACTTGACCAACAGTGAGTAACAGAGACTGGCCGACTGCCCAAGCGGCTAACGAGCCGATCAGTGGTGAAAAGGATAAAAGTAAAAGTAAAATGACTTTTTTCACAGAAGAAAAGAGTTTTATTGTTTTGAAATTAATACAAGAGCAACACAAGCTGGCCGCAGTTGTTCCTGAAATTAATACCTGTACTTTCGACTGAGGGCCTTGGGACTGGCAACTCCTTGGACAATACATGGCAGGATGGACCTACTTAACATATTCAGAATCTGAGAGGGGATGGAATTCATTAACCCACTAACTGCTTTTATCGCTTTTAGATGATTACCCACAAAACTACTGTCGTTGTCTTCAGTTATTTGGAATATGGCGCCATGACTTTAAACCTGTGTGCCAATAATTGTACAGTATTTGTTGTTCTTCTGTGAGTGAGAACAAAACCATCTCTGAACTAAGTGTAAATTTAGCCTGAATCAATTGCTGAGCATCTGTATAGTACTCAAGTTTGGCAGTTCTCAGTGGTTTGGTCTTGTCCTAATGAGCTGTACAGTAGTTCAGTGATGGATTGTTTTGATACATGCTCTCTGGCCTATTTGTTATATCATACAGGAAAATAATTGACAAACTGGAAGAAATAAAAAGGAAAATTTAAGATTTACTGCACCCTTTATATACAGTCACCCTTTATATACGGTACTGGATTTGTATTATTCTTGATAAACAGAATAACTTTTAAACTTACGCAGAACCAAAACACAATACAATAAGAAATATTATAGTACTCTACTGACAGGGTTGGAAAAAATAATGATTTTTTTAAGTAAAAAAAAAGGATTTATTTGATTTAAATCTGATTTTTTTTATTTAAATCAATTTTTTTATTTATTTACTAATTGCAATAAAATAATAATTTTAAGCCATAAAAACAGTATTTTTCAACCAAAGCTTATTCAGGATAATAAACAGAAAATTGGCATTAAGATATTTATGCAGTAGATGTACCAATGGAATTTAACACAATAATATTCTTTTTGTAAAATACAGTGGCCCCTCGGTTAACGAACTCAATCCGTTCCAGAAGGTCGTTCGTTAACCGAAACGTTCGTTAACCGAAACCATTGTTTCAATGGGTTTTTGGGTAATTGGTTCCAGCTCACCGAAAATTTCCTAACTTCAACAAAAATGGCGGAAAAATTTACTTACTTTGAGGTGTGTATGTAGAAGACTCCTGGATGATGGTGATGATGTGCATTTGAAGTGGGAGGTGGAGGAGGAGAAGGGAGAAGAGAAGGAAGTGGAGGTGGAGGAGAAGCATTTTACTGCTTCTTGGAAGGTGAGTCACCTTCCATGAAAATGTCAGGAACCTCTGGACTGACAGATTCTCCACCATGAACATCCTCTCTCCTTCTTGAAGTGGAAGGCTGAGGGCTAGCATCTTGTTCCCTCTGCCTTTTACTGAAGAAAGTGTCAATTGTGGTCTGTGGGGCATCTGTCCTCCTCTCCATTAACTTATGTTTAAAGGAGACCACTGAGTCCTCAACATGACACAAAGTTAGTTCAGTTTTTTCCACTTCTGGGTGCTTTGAAGCCAGTTCCCTGAACTTCTCCCAGTGGTAAATCACATCTTTCAACTGTTTAGCTGACATATGGTCATCACTTTCAATTTCCTCCTCACCACTGTCAGCCTCTACCCGTAACATCTCATCCAGTTCCTTCAAGTCATCAGGAGTAAGTTCCTCCTCATGAGACATCACATGCTCTTCCACATCCTTCTCTTCCACTTCAAGACCCAATGACTGACCAATGGACACAATCTCCTGGTCCAACTCTGTGTCATCCTCAAATCCCTCAAAATCATGGACTACTGATGGCCACAGTGCTTTCCATGAAGAATTGAGGGTTCTATTGGAGACTTCTTGCCATGATGACACAATCAATTTTACAGCCTCCAGGACGTTGAATTGTGTCTTCCAGAACTGTTTCAGTGTTAGTTCAGGATCAATGGAAGTTGCCTGATGACACCTCCTAAACATTTTCTTCATGTACAACTTCTTGAAGTTGCTGATTACATTCTGGTCCATTGGCTGTATGAGTGATGTAGTGTTTGGAGGCAAAAACAACACTTTCACAAAGTCAAATTGATACTCCAAATTTCTGGCAAGGTCAGGGTCATGACCAGGAGCATTATCCATGAGGAGAAGAGCCTTTAAAGGAAGTTTATTGGTGGTTAGGTAGCTCTTGACAGAGGGGCAAAACACATCAACAGCCCATTCATTAAAGAACTGTCTTGTCACCCATGCCTTACGGTTGGACTTCCAATAAACTCCAACCATTGTTCTTACCACTTTCTGTTGCTTGAACACCCTGGGGTTTTCAGAGTGGTAGACAAGCATAGGCTTCAGTCGGAAATCCCCTGAAGCATTGGCACCAAGCAATAGAGTGAGACGGTCTTTCATGGGTTTATGCCCAGGTAAAGAGGCTTCATCCTTGGTGATGAATGTTCTTTTGGGCATCTTTTTCCAGAACAGCCCAGTTTCGTCAACATTGAACACTTGCTGTGGAAGATAATTTTCTTCTTCCATCAGTTTTTTAAATTCAATTAAAAACTTTGTTGCCCCTTCTTTATCAGCACTAGCAGCTTCACCATGCCTAACAACACTTAAAATGTCGCTTCTTTTCTTAAATTTTTCGAACCAGCCTTTGCTAGCCCGAAAATCTTCAAATTCTGTTCCTGAAGAACCAGGTTGATCTGCCTTTAAATGTTCATAAATCTCCCTGGCTCTTTCACAAATGAAATCACCAGAAACTGAATCACCTTTCATCTGTTTTTCCCTAATCCAGATGATAAGTAACCTCTCAGTTTCTACGATTAGGGATCTACTTTTAAACACTCTTGTAGATTTGTCTCTCACGTTCACTTCCTTAAATTTGTCTTTTTGTGCAAGAATTGTCGACACAGTTGATGCCGACATGCCATATTCTTTGCATAGCGCATTTGATTTAATACCTTGTTCGTGTTTTTTTATTATTTCCTGCTTTATTTGGATTGAAATCACTTTTCTTGATCTCTTAGGCCCCATGCTGGATTCAAACAATGGCAACACGTATTTTTCAAAGTTAAACTAGTTGTAAATAAAGAATATTTTCTTTAAAATAACACTGCACTGCACTATATATTGTCAATATGTAAAATAATTTTCAAAATGACCAATAATTTGCTTGGAAACACAGAAAAAAAGCGTTTAGTTGAAGAGAGTCTCAAGCAAGATGTTACCTCCAGTGAAAACAGAGAGAGACTGACGCCTGTTTGCTGTGTTAAGAGGCTGGATGCCGCGCATTAAACTAGTCACTTTACCATCAATTTTGTTCAATAATTGTTAAAATGACTAAAAAATTGAATATTAAACTTTTAAAATTATTGAATAGTATAAACTTCTTGATATTTACAAAAATAGTAAGGAATTTAAGCCTTAGAACCGATTAATGTATTGGCGGACTGATACTAAAGCTGGTAGCCCGGTCAGTGCAAGCGAAAACATGTTGAGGTCGGTTCGTAAGAAGTTCGTTAAGCGAAATTTTTTTCGTTAACCGAATTGAAGATCCTTATGGAAGGCAGTTCGTTAATCGAAATTACGTTAACCGAGGTGTTCGTTAAACGAGGGGTCACTGTAAAAGAAAACTGGTAACATATCTTACATTTGAGTGCACAGATCCAAACGTAATAATGAAATTTAACATAAATGCTCTTATAGGATTACAGTGTTTCAAAAATGAATAACTTAACTTCTTCAAGTCAACAGAATAATATTCTCATTTTGTAAAAAAAAAATATTTTCTTACATTTGTAGGATTATAGTGTATTAAGAATTACTGGTAATAACTTCACGTCAACACAATATTCTCATTCTGTAAACAACAAAAATAGTTCAAAACATTTAAATTAGCTTAGTTGAACATTGAAATGTTTACCGTATGTACTGTGACAAGCTTAGATGCCTTTTCCTGTCCTAGGCGATTTCTTACCTTTGAGTGTACAAATCCATATGTGGAAAAAATTCTCTCAACCCCTGCTGATGATGCAACAGCTGTAAATAATTGCATAGGAACATCCATTACATTTTCTGTCATATCATTGGCAAAATACTGCCACCAAGCAAGGGGTGAGAAAGCTTTTACAACATCTTTACCAAAATAGACCTCTTTAAATGGTGCACTTCTTCCATGGAAGGACATTAATGTTGAAAGGAAATGTGGAAGAGACTCGCACACATACTGTTCTGCAATGTCTCTCTGCTCAGGAGTCAGATGTCTGCCCTGATACCTTGGATCTATCACATTAGCTAGAAAATGGGCAGGTGTCAATGTTGCCTTTTCAAAATTATCCATATCCTTCTTATCTGTTAAATACTCCTAAATATCAGTTTTCAGTTTTACCCAGATTTCTACAGCATCACTTAATAGGGTTATGTTCTCTTTGGACACAGTTCAATGCCACAGCAATAAGCTTAAGTCTCTCTAAATAGTCTTCTGCAGTTCTTTTTAATGCCTTATCATTAACTTTCGTTTCAATTTTCTTATCAATGTGTTCACTATTTTGTTTGCACACTTTGACAAGGGTCTCCCAGTTCTTTAAATAAGATTCAATAGAATCTGTCACTGTGTTCCATCGTGTGTCTGATGGCATTACTAGCAGTGTTCCTCCTGCTCTTCTATACAAAGATCCTGGGATGTGATGATTTCTGAAGTACTTGATGATTTCAGTAATGTGCTCCTTAATGTTCTTGATTTGCAGGTCTTGTGAAAGCAAATTTAACAGGTGTGCTGAGCAACCATATGTTATAATGGATTTATCTTGTCCGAATTCACTTCTCATTTTTGCCATGTTAGCAGCATTATCTGTTACACAGCTTCTTACTGTGCATCCAAATTGTCTTCACACTTTTTTGTAGCACATTCAGCTAATTTCAACAGATATTCAGCTGTGTGTCTTGATTCTGTGTCTATAGAGTCAACAAGATAAATACGGTTGTCCGCTGTTTAAGTTATACATACTATAGGCTCATTATGGACATTACTCCATCCATCCATGGCCATGCAAACTGTTTTCCCACTAAGTTCTTCTGAATAATTCTTAATCACTGAATCGTAGGCTTGATCCAAAAGAGACCCTCCAATTTGATGTCTATTAGGTGGAACATATCCTGGTCTTAGCATTTTAATCATCTTGATAAACTTCGTGCTCCACTGTTCGGAAGGGTGAATTTGTTGCATATACTGTATATAATTAGCAACTTGCTGATCCAAAGTGACTTTTTCAGACTTAGTAGTTTTTATCACAAAACCAGTTATGCTTCTTTGATCAGAAATAATACTTATGTTGTTTAAAAAGAACATATTAAGTGATAAAAATAGAATATCTGAATATGTATAGCCTAGTGCCTACAGCCTGTTCACTCTAGCTTTGCAAAAATGTACAGCCCCTTGCTCCTTATTGACTGATATATAATGCCGGGAGAAGAGAATACTACAGTTCTTCTGATTTTCAATAGTATTTATTATCTTAGTTAACAATATATTTCATGTAAATACATACATTAATAATGAGACCTTATGATATGATCAAAGTTTCGCAAAACTGGAGAGAACAGACTATAGTACAGTACATAATTATGTAAATCCAAATAATGTTATTAGCCTGCTGCATTGCATATACTTTTCAATCATGTAGAATATTAAGAGCAAACAGTTATTAGTAAAAAAATCATTTTGATTTAAATCATGATTTTTTTACTCTGATTTAAATCGATTTCAATCATGTGATTTAAATCATTTGATTTAAATCATAACAACCCTGACTCTACATGACACTGTTGGATGTGCCACCATCATTGTCAAGTATCTCAAGTTGCAGTAACCTCGAGTAAAATTCTTCTGTCTTATGCTGTTACGGTGATATCTCCGTTAGCCGGAACAATTGGTGCATGGCACTTCTGGGTAATGAGACGACTCTTTCAAACCCTGAAAAAATCCCTCATGCCCGGAATTTTCTAAGAAGTTGCAGAAATTGCGCTACATCTTCTCTTGAACCCGGAAAGAAATCTTCCATCCCTGGAATTTTTCCGGGTGTCAGAATTTTCCTTAATGATGCATTATTTCATCTCTCAAAGCTGTCAAAAAATTCTCCATCCCCAGAATTTTCCAGGTACCCTGTGCTGGGACTTTTTTTTTCGAAAAATTCAGGCTTAGAACAATTTTCAAAGAATTTCAATTCCGGGTATCGGAGAGTTCTGGCTAATGGCGATATTACTGTATTGTAATGCTTAGTCCTGTACTAAGATTGTTATCAATGGTTATATACCACATGCTGATGGAAATTTTATTATTTGTTTCATTTTATCAGCTCAAGATGGAGAGAGGAGGAACTTATTCAGCAGGTGATGAGGAAGGTACTGATTTAAACAAGCTCATTCCTGATTTACCCGATGGCCCACTTACACAGTACCGGGCTAGAGCGTCATTCAACTGGAAGAAAATGAAGGCCTACCTCGACCCTCCCGAAATAATTGCTTTTATGGTATGTGGAATGTAGACTTGATGAAAGAGTCGGTGTAACACTGCACGTACTGTACTGTTCCTTCTAGGATTTTTGTAGGGCAGCAATATTATAAATCAATATTTTTGTTCAAGGTAAACACACTAAGAGACAGAACTGTTCATCGTGTAGGTACTGTACTGAGATGCCTAATCTTCACATGATTCGTATATTTCCCACAGAATCGTCTTTACAACTTCATGGAGACGGACCCGGTGTTTCAGTATTTAGATGGAGATGCGAATCTGGAAGAACAGCGATATGTGACGTTACTTCGCAACAAGAAATTAAATAATGCCAAATTGTTTGCGGATGAAGAATTGCTTATGGATTTTAGGAAGGTATGTTACATGGGAGAACTCTACTTGAATAATACTGTATGAAATAAGATGGGTTACAGTAACCTTGTATAATGTGTCAATAAGAGTTGTGTTTTTTACAATGACCAATTAATGTTTAGGATTTCTCTTCTTCTTCTTCTTCTTCTTCTTCTTCTGTCTGTTGAGTGAACATTGTTTTTTTTTTTTTTTTGTATGGGGAATAGCCCGCCCGGGCACAGGTCGTCTACCCACAACGTGGCCTTGGAGGCAAAAAAATAAGAATAAAAATAAATTAAAAATAGAAAAGGAAAAGGTTATATTAATCTACACCGCGAAGATGCTGGAACACCAGCTTTATAAAGCGAGACATTGTATGAGTGTGGAAATACAGAAGAAGGCAGAGCATTCCATAGTTTGGCTGTGTGGGGAAAGAAGGATGTACTGTACTATATCGTAGGGAAAGAATGAATATACAGTACAAATTCTTATGTTGAAGCTCTACTGCTCATCCTGGATCACTAGAACTTGATGGCTTGATATTTATGTTGGTGGCTATGTTTAATCAGTCTCATTTTGTTTTTTCTTTTTTCTGTTCTTTAAAACCCTTTCCTGCTATGACAAGAGGTTGACAAAATAGAGAGTAGCCCAGATTATTGATATATTAAGGCAGTAGTAGGTAGTAGGCAGCTGTCAAACAGGGAGGTACTACCGCCTGGGAAGATATTGGAAGCTTAATGTATTGTCTAATGGTAGACCCTGCTGCCGTACGGCATCATGAAGATTGTGACCAAGTCCCAGGTTGCTGATCTGACTTTCTGTCTCATTTACAGTAATTATTAGTACAGGTGCTCCTCTACTTACGAACGAGTTACGTTCCTGAGGCTTGTTTGTAAATCCAACTTAACTCTTGTAGATCCCAAACATATTGTAAAAAATGAAAAGATTATGGATATTAGTACAGCTATACCCTTTAATACAGCCTTAAAACCTGGCTCACTCTTCTCCTCTTAGGTAATGTTTGTTCTATCTGGAATTTTCTTCAAAATAATTTATTTAAAATTAATTTTTTTCCAAAGAATATTCAGTAAATGACTGCGTTAATTCTTGAAACTACCGACAGTGGTAAATTTAGGATATAAAAGATGAACACAAGTCACGTTATGGATTCGGAGTTTGGTCCTTAATGATCACCATAAATGTCTGGTCAATTTCACCTACCAGGAATAATGGTAGCCTCCCTTTTTCGCGAAACAAGTATATAAATTAAAGAATATACTTGCAGTCTGTTTAATATATTACAGTATATTATAATATTATAAACAAATAAATCGGCAAATCTATTTCAAGTAAATGGAAATATATTACTCACACCGACATTAGTTCTAGTTAAATAACTGATGCTTAAGTGAGTCACTAGTGCACACCAGCCGGTAAAATTTGATGCCAATACTTTAAGTGAATTGGCCTTATTTTAAATAACCAACCATAAATAAATGCAAAAAGGAAAAAGATCAAAGGCGAGAAACATTATATTGTATGTATGTTGTGTTGTCAAAGGAAGAGAAACAATTGAAACTCTGTAATTGTGTGTAAATGAGGCAGAAAGATAGATCAGCAACCTAAGACTTGGTCACAATTTTCGTGATGCCATATGGCAGTAGGATCTACATTTAGACAATTTCTTCCCAGGCGGTAGTATCTCCCTGTTTGGTAGATGCCTAAAACTTTTAGTAATATTACTTTGATACAACATGATAAATTCGACAAACAATGAAAATAAACAAACAAAAGTTATTTACCAAGACCTTCTCTCTGAGAACAGAGGGTAATACAGTGAACCCTCACTTTACGCGGTTAATTGAACCCACGGCAGCCCGCGTAAAGTGAACAACATAACATATGGGATTAATTGAAATAGAGACCGGGCCGACCCCCAAACTCCACTTTTTCCTGACACAATACGTACGTTTTACTAAAAATAACATCTTAACTTTATGATGGTATTCACACACACATTATATAGAAGGGAACAATCAATAAGAGAATAATAAACTGAAGGTTAGGTTAGGAAAAAAAACAAGGTTGGGGTTAACACTTACGTTAGTAGAAGAGATGGGTCGGCGTAGGGGAATGGAGGCTGGTTCCGAGGCAGAGGGCAGGTTACTGGCCCTCAGGTGAGTCTTCATCGGTGTCATCCACACTTACTAGTGCCTCCCTGACAAATCCCTCAAAGTCATCATCACAGTCTCTGCCTCTGTCACTATCACTGGCTTGGGCTGGCTGTGGAGGGTTGCGGGTGAAGAACTCTGTTATGCTTTGCTGACGGCTGGTGTTTATGTTGTCGTGATAAACCTTGATGTAGGGCTCCATAGTCTGCAACAGCTGGGTAGTGAAGATTTCATACCTGTTAGCGTCAGGGTCATCGGAAAGGAGGAGCTTGACTTTCTCAATACACTCGATGGCACCCCTAACATTACTATGGGATAAGCGGCATTCTTCTTGGGATGACGCACCACCTGCCTCTTCACTGACGTCATCATCATCTACCATCTCGTCGGTAGTCACATCAGGATCCCTTATCACCTCCAGGATGTCGTCGTTGTTGGTCTCGGAGAAGCCTGCAGCTGTAACACTCTGCGCAGCTTCTCTGGCAAGGTCCACTGCTACTGCAACAGTCTGAACCTCACCAGTCACAGATTTGCTCTGCCCAACACCCAGAATACCTTGCAACACATGTCTCCATGCGTGACGAACAGTTGCTACAGACAGCTGATCCCATGTCTCCACCAAGAAGTCCACAGCTTTCTTGACATTGAATGTTCTCCAGAATTGTTTCAAAAGTACTTCTTGCTCTGCCAACTGTTGATCCTCGTCGTCTTCGCTCTTGCTATCGGTGTTGGTGTCACTCAGGTTACGCAACGTTTCCTTGGTGTTGGTGTAGTCGTTCAGGAGCTTGAATTTTTTAGCAGAGAATGCAGCTTTTACATTACAGATCAATTCTTGGTCTATGGGCTGTAATATAGACGTAGTGTTGGGAGGAAGGAAGACCACTTTTACGTTGGGGTGACGATCTAACAGTAGGGGTGAGTGTTCTGGTTCGTTGTTAAGCAGCAACAAAATCTTGAATGGCACATTCTGTTGCTCACAGAGTTTCTTCACATCGGGAACGAAACAGTCATCAAACTAGGAGAGGGACAGTGTAGAAAACATCCACGCCTTACGTGCGGTCAGCCAGTGGACATTTAGCTTGGTCATGTCCATGCTCTTGAAGGCGTGCGGCTTGCGTGCTGTGTGGATCACCGATAACTTGAGCTTACAGGTACCGGAGGCATTGGTGGTAAACAGGACGGTGATGCGCTCCTGCAATTTCCGGCCCCAACACTTGCTGGCATTCTTCACAACGAAGGTCTTGGAAGGTAGCTTTTTCCAAAAAAGACCAGATTCGTCCATGTTAAACATCTGGTCGTCGGTGTACTGTCCTTCCTCCATAATCTCACGTAAAAACGGAGAAAATTCCCTAGCCGCAACATGGTCAACACTAGCTTCTTCACCACCAATGTTTATATTGGTGATCTTGTTCCGGATCTTAAACCTCTGTAACCACCCAGAGGAAGCATTAAAGGGTTTGGGCTCTGTAATTCCCATCTTTCGTGACACTGCAGCATACAGTTCACGTGCGTGCTCCTTAACTGAGTGCGTGTCCACCGCCATGTTCCGTCGCGCCTGACGCACCAAGTAGCTCACAAGTAATTTTTTCGTCTTGAGAAGCACCTGGTTGTGGAAATACTTGATCATAGAAGCACCTGTAGACTTTGTGATGTTCATGTGCTCCTTTATCTTGGCTGCATCCTTCTTAATTGTCCTGATAGTTGATTCGTTAACACCATGCTGGCGCGCAAGATCAACCTATCTTGTTCCTTTCTCCAACTCTTGTATGATCTTATATTTGATTTCGTAGCTTAAGGAACGTCGTGTCTTCTTTGGCTTAGGGCGGCTGGGTTCAGGTAATGCAAGGTTTCTTTGTGGTGGTGGTCCGGTGGAAGCCATTCTTATGGAACAATGAATACCGATATACACAGAGTAGCCAGGAGGGGTGTAACTGACGCGGGTAGGTCAAGGGGCTTGAACGCTCCCGCGGCGGGGCACGTCATAGTACATTAAACCAATCACAGCTAGCGGGGAGGGAGGTAAGGATGCTTTGCCCAATCATAGTCCGCTACGTTATATGACGTCACCGATAACGCAACAAAGACATACACTGCATAACCTACTCGCGCCGCTTACACAACATGGCGAATGGCGGGAGAGGGCGGAAGAGATGGCGGGAGGTTTGGATCCAAAAATGGCGTGGTGCGAGAGGGCCGCTCTCCGCGTAAAGGGGTACACACACCGTGTTCGGCAGGGTAACGCGTAAACGTGGAAACGCGTAAAGTGGGACCCCGTAAAGCAAGGGTTGACTGTAGATGGAGGGGAGATAAGAAGGCTATTTATAGCCCGTCTTTGTGTCGGAAGTCGACCGCACTATAATAATTCATTTAAAATTTAAATTTTTTACATAGAATATTCAGTACATGACTGCGATTATAAAATATTGTGAATATATATGTATATATATATATATATATATATATATATATATATATATATATATATATATATATATATATATATATATATATATATATATATATATATATATATATATATATATATATATATATATATATATATATATATATATATATATATATATATATATATATATATATATATATATATATATATATATATATATATATATATATATATATATATATATATATATATATATATATATATATATATATATATATATATATATATATATATATATATATATATATATATATATACTGTATATATATTTGTGTAATAAATGTATGTAGTAAGTATGTACAGTAATCTTTTTCACTCAAATCCTAATGAAACACTATTGAATTAGAATACTGTAGCTGGTGTAAACAGTGGGAACAGTCCCACCACCTATTGTCTCTCGTGAAGCAAGCTTATAAATTAAAGAAAATACTTGGAGTGTGTTTAATATATTACAGTATGTTATAATAAATAAATAAACAAATAAATCGGTAAATCCATTTCAAGTAAATGAAACAATTGTGTTCGACACCGACATTAGTTCCAGTTAAATAACAGACGTTTAAGTGAGTCACTAGTGTTTACACTACACCAATTGGTAACATTTGATGCCATTACTTGAAGTGAATTGGCCTTATTTTAAAAAACCAAGGATGTCTAAACAGCACTGGCCAATGGGATGGTTGGTAAAGGACTACTGGGTCAGTAAGCTCCCAATGGAAAGTGTCACATTTGGGGTACCGGTCTTATACAGGGAATGGGGCTCAAAAGCTACTTTTTAAATGGCCATTTTTGGGGTCGTCTTATACACCCCGTCGCCTTGTAGGCCGAGATATAACGTAGGTTCTCACCAATAACGTCTAATAGGTGCCTGAAAAACGCCGTTATTAGCAAAAACGTTATTTGTGTGACATTAAAATACATGTAAAAAGGGATTATTGGTGCCGCTGCCCCAAGAATTTCACCCATTTTTTCCCCTTTGAAGCTCTCCTAACACCTTTTGTTAGCTGAAATAAAAAGAATTGTTATTCAATCATGAAAATAAAGAATTTGAGTAATATAACACTTAGCTTGGGGGAGTTTTTGAGGTGTTTGGTGTGATGATTGTTCCGAGGCTGGGGCATGGAGGCTACTACGTCAAACCTCCGCCCACTTCCCTGGCCCCATCTCCATCTCCGTCCCCACGCTGGCCTGTCGCACCTGGTTCACCCACTTCCGCTAACACTTCATCAAACCCCACAAAGTCAAAATCTTGAGGCATTTCCCCAATGTTATCAATGTCTTCATCAACTTTCTATCACTTTTATCATTCACAGCTCGCCTCACATTTCCTTCACTACCGAAATATTTCTTAGCCAGCGCAATACTCTTCTTGGTCTCCTCTAAGTTCCTCTTAATATTTCGCACTATAGACTCTGGACAGTTAATTTCCTCACAAAATCAATGTTCCGTGCACCACTTTCAATGAGTTCAACAATCTGTTCTTTATCCTTAACCCAGTAGGCACGCTTCTTGTGGCTTTGTCTCTTAGCTTTGTTTTTTTTTTTCTCATTCACTTTAAAAGTTCCCGGGCATTCAGGCGGCAAATCACTCCCTTCACCACCTCCCCTAGCCCCCACAGGCAAAAACGCGGAAGCCATTATTGACCACCGACCCTAGCAACCACTGGGTATAGAGGCAAAAATCTCACATGTGGGCGCAGCGCTGTATTCCACGGAGCGTGTGTGAGAGTGAGGAGGAGCTGACAACTAGGTCATCAACATGGCGGCAAACAAACGCTGTCTTTGATGCGCTCGGACGCTTCCCGCGAAATCTCCGTTATTCAAGAGAATCCAGATGTTATTATCGAGAATGGGTATCTATTGTAACTTGCCTTTATTGTCGAAAACATTATTGTGGAAGTCGTTATTGGCGAGAGCCTACTGTATACTTATTTCATTGTTACTTTTTTATAGTTACTTACTCTTAGGTGATGAAACCGTAATGAATTGTGTGTGAAGATTATTATTTTAATAAATATTGCTTTACTCATCATAACAAGCTGCCTCTACCTGAACCCTGGGCCACATTAAATAGAATTTATCAATCAATCCACGGGCCGCACAAACACTTGGTCCTGGCTGCGGGTTGCCCATTCCTGGTCTAGGAGATGTAAACAGAGAAACCAGATATCAGAGATCAGGAATCTTAGACCAAGACAACAATGAGTATTTGCTCAAAACAGGCTAACAAAGTACTTTTGAGAACTCACTTGGATTATGCAGTTCAGTTCTGGTCACCGTACTACAGAATGGCTATCGAATCCCTAGAAAGCATACAGAGGAGGACGACAAGACTAATCCCGGGCATTAGAAACCTTGAGTATAGAGACAGATTAAAGCATCTGAATTTGCACTTCCTGAAGAGCAATATGATAGAGGTGTATAAATTGAAGTCAGGGTTAAACAAAGGTGATATAACAAAGATACTTAAATTGTCAAACCAGGAACGAACTTGTGGCAATGGTTTTAAATTAGATGAATTTAGATTTAGGTGCAAAATAGCAAAACACTGGTTTGGAAATAGAGTAGTGGACGAGTGGAACAAGTTACCAAACATCATCATTAGCTCTAATATGCTGGATAGCTTCAAACATACAGTAGGTTGGATGGATATATGAGCAATAGGGGTTGGGTGTAAACAGGGCTACCCAGTATGGACCAGTAGGCCCGCTGCAGTTTCCTCCATTTTTTATGTTCTTAATTGCAGGGTCTCAATTGTTTCTCTTACTGTGACAACACAACATACATACAGTAGCACCTGTATATCGTTTCTCTTTCTTGATCTTTTTTTTTCTTTTTATTTATGGTTCTTTATTATTATTTTATTTTTATTGATTTATTTTTATTTATTGTATTTTTTATTTAAACACTTGTACAGTATATTTGTGAAGTGTCCAAACTATGTACAAGAGAGCTCAGGCTCTCAATTGGCTCAGCCATGTTAATATGATTTTTATCGACTCTGTATCTGTGTTCTTCTGGCTAAATAAACTGTTCCATATCAATAGAGTTCTTACAGACTGCTGTTGGCTTCCATAAATCTTAACTCAACAGCATTAACTCTGTAATAAGCTTCCAACTCTTACTGGCCTATTGATTTTACTATATTTGTACTATCTCTTCCTGTGTTATCAGTGTTGTGTTATCTTTTTCAGGTTATTCTCAAGGCACAGTTCAACATTTACATCTGATTAACTGTCACCTGGCATTGGTTTTTGTCTGATACTGTACCTCATATTCAGGGCAGGATTTAAAGCTTTAAGGGGGCTCATACAAACCTCCTCCCATGAAACACACTTGTTAAGTCAGGGGTGGATTAACTTTGATAAGATTCTATACTAACCTCACCTCACCTGACCTAACCTAACTGGGTCTCAACAACTTTAGATTATTATTATTATTATTATTATTATTATTATTATTATTATTATTTTTTAGTTTTAGTTTAGTTATGATTTAAAGCTCGTACACTGATTCGTTGGACAGTGTAGCCAGCCGCTGAAACATGTCAAGTTTTCTGACCCTGGCAAGACTGGCAGAGAAACTATACTGCATTGTGTAGTGTATACAGTAGTTAAGTTATTCTGATATGTAGAGTTCTTTACAGGGAGTTGAGTACAGTATCTCTAAAAGGTCTTTGCTTCTTGAAGATTTGTAAAAATAATGGTAATAAAATTTGGGGAAATTTTTTATGACACTAGAAATAAAAACCTGAGACACAGATCCATTGGTGCATAAATGTTTGTTTTTGTGATTGTAGAGATCTGTATGTATACTTGTATATAACAACAGGCAATTGCCACGCCCTCTGTGTTTGGCGGACACAACTGGTCGCTGGCAGCCAGAATGGGATTGTTAAGGGGCTTCATAATCTCAGCGATTCTTGGACTTGGGACAGAGCGTCATAATACAGTTGTAGACGCTTTCATCAACCATGAGGTTTGTATGATATTTATTAATCGGGAACTTTGTAAAAAAAAATCTCTCTGACCAGCAAAGAACGACAAACGTTTCAGTGTTGAGTGTTGTACTCTAAACTCATCTCATTTTTCCTATACAATTTTATTTTTTAATAATTCTTCTATCAGCAACTTGATTTTACATTCTTTCAGTATGTAATGTGTCTTTTTGGTAACTTTTAGAGCTCTCGATGTTTATGTATTACAGTACCTCATCCTGCTCTTGTTTATACGTAATTTCTTTGGCTTGTCAGAGAAAGTTTCATGTTACAGCAACCTCCCCAAAGAACATGTACAGTATATATATATATTATAACTATACAGAACCTTATAATTCTCTTTGTCAGGGAGTTGCTTATGGTGCTACTCTGGGAGGTTATGACTGGTCATTTGCCACAAAAAAGTTTCTCAGCCAAGATTTTTTCATTTTGGGGATTCTTGGTCAAGGTTCGGCAAATCATGTGAGATATATTGAAGCCATGCAGAGGCAGGAGGTATGAGGTCACCCTACAGTTTTCATGCTTTCATTTATGCTTGACTAGACTGCAGGTGTTGACTCTTTATGTTATTATATGTATTTTGTTATTTATTTTGCTGCTGCGTACGGTATCGGTATACACATTAACCAATCTTGCATGAGGTTAAGTTGATGGGGTCATACACATATACAATACAGTACATCACATTTCACAGGTAACTCAGATTCAACCACAAGTGTTCTGAAGATGGTGAAGTTAACACTGTATAAACCAACTCCTTACCCAGGTGCTTCTTAAAATTTGATTCATCAGTATAAGTTTTTATCCTCTTTCAGTCTTCTGTTCAATTCCACTTTGAAAAATTAATTTGAGTCATGGTGATCATACTCCAAGTTTAAATCATACGCAGGATATAGCGTATGAGTCCGATGATTTCATGTGGAAGTTTAGATGTACAGTAGTTAAGTTTTGGAGTTGATGCAGCCAATGGAAGGTATTAAAGGCTCACTATAATAACCACAAACTGAACACTTTGTATATAAACACCCACTTGAAAAAGGCCACAAGATGACTACCAGGTTATGGCCATATTTTGTCATATTTTCCACATAGATTTACCAATGCACATAAGGTCAGGTTTTTCAGTGGCTGGTGAAACAACATCAAGGTTCAAACCAAGAGTAATGTTTGCCAGATTTTGATGTGAGTTTAGGCACATGCTTATCTTTCTGGCTGCAATGAGGCACCTTTGCTTAATTTTACTTAAATCGACACCTGTATAATGGAGTCCAGTGGGTTGGTTGCTGTATACACTTGCTTCAACATCAACTGATCACTTTTGAGTACTACAGTGATTGCATGTGTCAAACCCACTGGACTTGCATAGTGTGTGTACATGTATTATGAGGGGATTACAGTAGTTGTAGTGAAACCTCTATTTAATGGACTATGGAGAGAGTCTGTTATATCGAGGGTGCGTTAGATGCGAAACCTCCAATTACGGATTATATATAGAGAGACGTCCATTACTGTATATGTAAGTTTCACTGTATCAGAATAAAGAATATCAACATTTGAAAGTTTGACCAAAAACTAAACCTAGAAGAGTATGTGCAGCAGTAGTGAATCATGTCTTGTAGTTCAGTACTGTACTGTATTGTATCTCCTGATTTGCCGAGAACACGGATGTTAACTTTGGAAAGGAGACCAGGGGGGTTCTGTGAGAGAGGTTGACTTAGGGTGTTATTGCCGCTGATTGCTCTAAATATCTGATAGCTAGACTGCAGGTAAAATCATGGGGTTGCTGCCATCTTTATTTAACCAGAATGAGATCTTATAAATGACACCAACCCAAGTGTCTGCCACTTATTATGAGATAATGTATAGGTTCAGTTCTCATTGTTCCAGTAATATATAGGGTAACCTTTTTGAGAGACTAAGGCAGTGCTGACTCATGCTTTAAAAACATTTCTTACATTGAGGGTGAAGTATCATTCCATTTAGGTTGCTTTAGTGAAAGTAGAAGATAAGGTAATAATGATAAAATACCATTGAAAATGTTAACTTATAGATAAATGTTCAGTTTGGGTGAAGAATGCTTGTATGTCATTTCATCACCGGTGAATTTGTCACTGGTTAAAGTATAAACTTGACCTAACTTGGCCTCCAAATTAAGACCGGTGACAAAGTATTTGATGATGAATTTTCCAGTGAGGAAGTGTCCATGCACTGTAAATAATATATGGCCACCAATGACTTTGAATTATTGACCAATAAAGACAGAACCTTCTATCAAACATTTACAATACTACATATTAGTTCATATACGGTATTTTAGAACATTTATTTCGGTGTCAACGAAAGCTTGTCTTAAACATTACTGAAATGAGTCAAAGGTAAAAATTATGAAAGTTCTTTGTAAACATCAATAAGCATGACTTATGAACAAGATGGGTGTATTGAAGTTTTTTGTGTGTTATCGGTGATAGTTTTAGTTGAGTACAGTATATAGTGCTTAAATTGCATGTAACTGAGGCATTACTGTAGAGCTGACTCAGAATATAGTTATCCCGTAGAATTTTGATACAAAATTTGATAGTTAGATACTGTGCCTTTGTCCCAGAATACCGTAGAGTGATCTTGTAGAATCTTGTGATACGACGCTTGATAGTTAGACACCATCTCCACCTTTCAGATTGGTGGATGTTTCTGCCTAACAGAGATATCTCATGGGACTAACTCTCGTGGTCTCAGGACACAGGCTCGGTATGATCCCAAAACTGAGAGCTTCATCCTTCATACTCCAGACTTTGAAGCAGCCAAATGCTGGTCTGGAAACTTGGGTAAGTGAGAACAGTTAATAAAAACTGCTCTGTTAGATGACACTCATAACCAAGTCTTTACAAAGTCATGTGCATAAAATCACATTTCACATTTTTCTTTTCTGTATTTCTGTATATGAATATCTTATATACTTACATGGTGTACAGGTTTTGTTATTAGCACTAGTAACAATATTGATTATTATGGAGTTTGTGTACCAAGAAATACTGTACTATACTCAGGGTGTCTACTGGTCTGGAAAAGCCAGGGGATTTTACAAATAAACATGGAATTTTATGTGAATTAGGTTCAACTTCAAAATATTGTTATTTTTACAGCACTCATACCTTAAATTAAAGTTGTACTTTATAATAGGTAAATAATTAAATTTTTAGGAACAAATTTCAGTAAATAGTCCGCTCCAAGAACTGAATTGTTTGTGTAATAATCATATGTCATGTTAGTGATCAAATAACCAAATATTACAGGTTATAACTAATAATTCTGCCATGTATTGTAATGATTGAATATCAGACCAAAGCTTACAGCCCAGAGTTACATCACATTTAACAGTGTGTACACTGCAGACCTCGTGGTACCACCACATACCAGGTGGACACACCCCAAGACCCTAGGGACATGACCTCGTCCGCTAATTACCTAAATTAGCGGGTGACCTCACCTAACCAAGATACCTGGGCATGATCACACCTGAACACGCTGTCCAGATCTAACCAGTTTAGTGATAATTGGTTAGAGGTCAAAAGCTGGCTGGGCCGACCCCATATAAAGGCCCTACAGTCCCGTCCACATTCATTCTCATTCTGATTCTGGTTGTCATTCGAACATTCTGAGGAGACGCTCATTACTCTGGAGATTCTCAGAGTCACGCTCGTCCTCTCCCCAAGTCGGGGGGAGACTCCCCGACGTCACCAGCTAAGCAGAAGCCTCCCATAGGAGGCAGCCCAGCTAAGCACCCACTGGTCCTACGTCAGGGTACACGTGAGTCTTGTCAGAACTATTCCTAGGGTGAATTACCTACTGTGGGAAGTGTATTCATTCATGTGTGTCTGAGAGTCAGTGTCGAGTAATGTAAAACATAATGTGTTAGTACCCCGATATAATAGTGATATTAATGTGTCCATGTCATTGAGTGAATTAATAAATAGTTGTATCGAAGAGGTGTTTAACAAGTTGTCCCGTTAAGAACGTAATATATGTTTATTGACATACGAGATAAGATAAGCGTATTGATGCTGAGTAAATAACACCCCGGCCACGCTACCAAGCTTCCTATCTTTACAGTACTACTCTCTATACTTCCTATATATATATGAAATCCTCTTCATGTGTGTTATATGTCTCACTATAGTATTGTCAGAGATGAATTATTCTTATAATTAAGTGACTTAAGTGGATTATCCCACATATTAATCATGAGTCATATAGGTGGATCAGGAGTCTGACTCTTTTATTTTTGCTGGATTTCCTGCTTTTTTGGAATGTCCAGGTCGACCCATGTGAATCACACAAATCCGAGGAGAACAATATGGGGGATTTCCTGCTTTTTTGGAATGTCCAGGTTGACCCATGTGAATCACATAAATCCGAGGAGAAAAATATGGGGGGGGGAGAGTCAAGGTTTTTTGCTGATGTTCATCATTAAGCTTGGAGTGGGTCACGAAAGGGTCTTCAATATCTTCATTAATATAATTTTTATCATCTTGAAATTTCTCAATAGTGTCTACAGTACATATTGAAAACCTCTCATTTTGTTATTCTGTCGTAATACTGTATGAATGTACCTGGAATTTTTCAAATTTACACCTGGAAAAGCCAGTGAATTTTCTTTTGTCTAGCCAGTAGACACCCTTAGCCAGTAGGCACCCTGGTACTGTACTGTACTACTAGTAAGGTTCAGCTGGTCTGAGCAGGTTGCCCTCATCTTTATATTGTATAACTGTATTATGCTTTTAATGCTTTTTTTGTCTTGGCCTTACCTCTGCCTGGTCACTGAGGTAAGGGTTTAACACGGGTAACAATTGACAAACACCCAAATTACTGTTGTTGATCATCCCAAAGGTAAAACTGCAAGTCATGGCCTTGTGTTTGCCCAGCTATATACCCCAGATGGCATTTGTCAAGGTCTTCACTGCTTTCTTGTCCCAATAAGAAATCCCAAGACTCTTGTGACATATCCGGGGGTCACCATCGTCGACATGGGACATAAGATTGGCCTCAATGGAATTGACAATGGGTGAGTTTAATATCACCCAAACTTGTGAGGAAATTTATAAAGTTATTTAGGGAGTAGATATTTTTATTTGTTCCATTTTATACAACATATAAATGAAACAATAGCTTCAGAGTAGAGGATAGTGAGTAACACCTGATAAAGTTAGTGTTGGAGTGTGTATATTGACACTCTTGAAGATGTTGTTTAATGTTTGCACTTTGTGGTGATCTTACTGTTTAAATACATCATCTCTACACCTACAGTACCTAGGTGGTTTTGTTCTGCCAATGTCTTTGAATTTTTCTGCCATACATACTTAGTTCTGTTTACTGCTAAGAATAATTATTAGATTTTAAGCAGTTTGTTTTGGATCATGAGGCTGTAGGGGTAAACTTCAGCTTTCCTAAATTAAAAAAGTCTCATCAGTAAGGATAGTGTCAGGACCCCAGGCAAAAGACAGACAGTGTTTAGGAGTTTAGACCTCATGGTTCACCGAGAATAAGGTACAGTACAGTAAGTCATTTATTCAGTCTTTTAATTATTTTTTTCACCAGGCTTATGATGTTTGACCACTATGCGATCCCTCGAGAGAATCTTTTGAACCGCACCGGAGATGTAACACCGGAGGGAGTCTACGAGACGCCATACAAGGACCCCAATAAAAGATTTGGTGAAAATATTTTGAGACGTTCAACTCTCTTAATAGACTTGATATTTTATGATTGAGACTATGCCCTGTATTATGTTAACTAAAATAATTCCCATAACTTGGTAGTATTGGGTCATTAGCTGGTGTGAGTCAGTCTATGCTAACACATTATGAAAAGTAATCTACTGTATATATAGGTATTATCATTAAGTTTATTTGTATAATGATTTAGGAGCTTCCCTGGGCAACTTGTCAACGGGTCGTGTGTCAATTATCGGCTTCGGGGTCGTGCACATGAAGAAATCCCTCGCCATTGCTGTCCGTTACTCTGCTGTCCGCAAACAGTTTGGGCCAGCAGAGGAGGAACTGCCTGTTATTGAGTATCCACTGCAGGTTGTACTTATTGTGTGTTGGTATAAAATTATGTTAGAGTAAACTTAATAAAGAGTTCAAAACACTTTAGTGTTTACTGTATAAGGTAAATACGTACATCAGAAGCTGTTGTTATCATCCCCTGTAAGCTAGTTATATTTCTTTATTGTCATGAAATATTTACTGCAGAAAAAGTCACTGACTTAATGATGAACAAAATTATTTGGTTCTCAGCAATGGAGGTTGTTCCCGCACATAGCAGCAACATACGCACTGGATAACTTCACCAAGGCTTTTAACAAACTGTTTGTTAACTTCCGTCTGGAGATGTTTGATGCTTCTGACAAAGGCAGAATAGTGAGTCATTTACTATTGTGTATCATTTATTATTTACTTATTCATTTCTATAACCTCACACCACTCTAAGGAGACTTATACCGGTGTGATCCATCAGTTAGCAGTATTTCCCCATTGGAAGTAAAATTCACCTATGCCCCTTTCAACCCCCATTGAGAGTGGAGGCCCAGCACAGAACCCAGTTTCCATTACAAGTGTCATATTCTTGAGTCAGTGAAACATTCAACCATCTGATTCAATTAATTTTCTTTCCACGTTGTTGTTGCTTTACTAAATGCTAATAATGTACTGAATGTGATTCGACTGAACCTTTGCTTTTCTTCCCACTTCAGCCTTGTCTTGATGAAGTACAGGTCCAGGTGAGCTTCAGTGTCTTGACAGGAATTTTATATTAAAAGTTTCACAGGATGGCCCAAGGTGGGACAGCTGCAGTGGCCACACATTTTACCTACCGTTGTTTGGTTCATTTTGTGTTACTGTTTTCTCTTTTGTACAGTCTCTCAAAATACTATCTTTACAAAAAAATTTAGATAATTAATAATATGGCACAATGGATGAAGGATTTTGACAACCCTACTGAGACAACAAGAGTCACAGTGTTTGTTCTGAAAATCCCCTTCCCCCCCATAAAGGTAGTTTTATGAGCGACTGTTCCTGACCACTATTTAATGTTTTCACTTACTGGGGATTTCTTAATGGTCTGTATTTCAGTTTCATTCTGCATGATTCCTGATATTATTTAAAAAAAAGTTATGTAAACAAACTTATAATATAATTGCACATCCTACTAACTATCCTTGTGGCCAGGCACTGTATGGACAAGAAATACATGCCTTGTCATCTGCTGGTAAGCCGGTGTCTGGCTGGTCAGCTCAGGCCACCATACAGGAGTGCCGCGAAGCCTGCGGTGGTCACGGCTACTTGAGATGTAAGTTATGGATGTAAACACAGCTAAGACAGGCTTAATTATTCACTTAAACATTAGCTAGAGGTTCACATAGTCTCATATATCATCAGTTTGGATGTACTGTACTGTGAAGTGTATTTATGATATCAATGTGTGTGAATCTACTACATGTGCTTCTGTAGAAATTTGTACAACTGATGAGAATATTCTTTGAAGACTAAGAGTGACCGATAAAATACTTTTATAATTCCCCCGCCAGAGTCTGCCTTGAGACCTTGGTGTTAACATTCTGAAATGGACTAAAGCTAATCAGTCCTACATGGATCAGCAAATGTTTGTCTTACATAACAGCTCACCGGGTAAATAGCTGCCTATCTGATATTCCAGTCCACAAACATAACCTATCAACTAATGGTATCGTAATGTACTACTGATTTTCTACCATACACGAGTAATTTCCTATCTTACTGTGTATGAGGTACTGTACCGTGTCAAGTGAGAGATTAATCTGTGTGCTGCTCAGAAGTTCATGTATTTATTTTTATTTATGTTAGGTATTTATTTACCTTTGTGTAGTATACTTGGTCATTTATCTTAACAGTTGACTACTTCCACCCCTTTCATATCTGGTTTGTAGTCTTTCATGTCACTTGTTACTGTCTCAGAATATAGACGACCACTTCCTCAAACAAGAGACTTTACCCAGTCTTTTTGTGTGTGTGTGAGAGAGATAGAGATATATCCCTTGCTTTATTCAACTTGTAAGCATTATGATAATATTTGTGTTTTGTGTTGTGACACCAAGGCTAAAAACAATTTCAATTGTTCGTCACCAGGTGCTGGGTTTGGTTACTTACGTGATGACAACGACGCTAACTGCACCTATGAGGGCGATAACAACGTCCTACTTCAGCAGACTAGCAACTGGCTCATAGGTGTATGGAAGAAGCGGTCAGAGGTTTCTGCAGTCTACCCAATGGGTACAGTGGACTATGTTGATCAAGGGGATCACATTCTTGGATGCACTTGGAAGACTTCTCCCATTGATGAGGACTCTACCAACCAGGGTAAGAGTGCACCACAATTTTAGCAGAGTTTTGGGAGTTTATCCTCTCAGAATTCTATGTCCTCCTGCCACATTCACAGTCATTACCTTACAATCTGTTACGTCATATAGCAATGCTCGCCTTGACTGTGATTTATTGATTCCCAACCCCTGGCGGATGTATCCCACAATGTGGTGATACGGAGAGACATATCCCGCAACTGGTGCAATATAATTCTTATGGGGCCATATTGAATTTCTCACATTTTGTGTTTGCTGAACTTTGCTTGAGATAAACTACCAATACTTAGATCATGTCTGTATGTTTTATTATAATCAGCGGATCCTGTTTTAGGCCTAGTGTGTGTGTGAACAGTGGGCTCCTCATGCAAAAATTAAAGATAAATTGGATTGGGTAACTTTATTAACATTGTTCACCTTACATAAAGCACAACAGAAAAGAAGACCATCAGGGTTTGTATGATGTTAAACAGCTGTGTACTGTATAGGCTAATTCAGGTACATATCTTCTTTACACCACCAGTACTTTGAGTTATCATTGTACTATATTCATTGAAGTTGGCTCAAATTATCCCCACAGAGTTGGTGCGGGTGTGCAAGGATTCTTTACGGTGGCTGGTGTGTTGGTTGTGCCAGAGAGGCAGCAGTGAGATCAAGCGCCACACTGCTGCTGGTCTGGATGCCTTCACCGTCCGCAACAACATCCAGGTCTACCTCGCTCACACCCTCTCACTGGTGTATGTTAAGGTGAGAACTCTTCTTTTGTTTCATGTTCTTGTAATTATCATCATTATGTTGTTCTCATAATAACCCAACATGCTCACAATGGCACAGAGTGACTCAGAGGTGCTCAAAATGATGCCAAATGATTTGCAGATGTTCATAAAGGTGCCAGTGGTTCACAGTTTTTTTATAGTCATCCTAAATTACCTACAGGTACTGATAATGACCAATTGTGAATCACAGGTGTTAATAATATGGATGCATACAATGACCCCAGGTACTGTACCCATAATTACCCCAAGCCACAGGTGCTCATGATGATCCCATTTGAATCACAAGGGTTCATATGTTGCTGAGTAACTTACATGTGTCTATAATATGATGCCAAGTGTCTCACAGGGCATCATAACAACACTAGGTGTACATAATTACCTCAGGTCACAAATTATACACTCATAATGACACAAACTAATTCACAGGTGTTCATAATGAGCCAGTTATATCACAGACACTCAAGTGATCCAAGTGTTTTGTTGTGATCCAAGACATCTTGTTAATTTCATGTCACAAATGCATATGTGAAAATGTAAAAATGTTTTTGGTTTAATAATTCTCGGTCCTCTTTCAGCAAGTAATACTTTCGTGGTTTGATGAATCCATCCATGAAGCAGAGGCAAGCCTGCAGCCTGTCCTCTACCGTCTGTGTGCGCTGTATGGTCTAACCCAACTAGAGAAGCTCCTCCCACAGCTTGTAGAAGGTAACATATGTTGTTGTTATTGCTAAACATATAATATAATACAGTACTATAGCAGAGAATCAGTGTTTGGGGAAATAGAGGATAATAAAAGAGGGTTTAGTATTGAGGAATGTGAGGAGTTGGAGAGGGTTGTTGTGTGGAAGTCTTAATCACTTATGTACAGACCGGGTCCTCTCTGTGCTGAATAAAATCCTCTGGCGTTGACCAAACAAAATATTAAAAGTGGCTTCCCCGTCGTGAAGTAGTTAATGAAATATTCTAGTAATTCGTGGAGGGAAAGAAGGAGATAAGGATGTTTGAGTAAAAGGCAGATGAATTATTATCAAGTGAAATTTCCGGTACTTGATTTGGTATAAGCCAAGATAATAATCCAAGAACTGGTAACAGTTAGTGAAGAATAGGTAATGAAGTCATAGAACCCAATCTTGAGTATATGGTACAGGTACAGAGAATAATTTGTATTGATGCAATTTGAAAAGTCAGTCACCTTCCATTGTGAAGTACTGTACTTAAGGCCAAGTTCCTATCCTTTACAAAACAACAAAAAGTTTACACATTAAATATTTTGTTTAACGTCGAATGGAATAATTATTTCTGAACTAGAAGATGTAACACTTAAAAGGGTAGGTAGGGTATTACTGTAGGTATAACAGACACACAGGACTGTACATTGTAACTGGTTGAAGAGGAAGAATAAAGTACAATAAAGGCATAACATGAAGACCTAGACTAGTAAGAACACTTGTCTATGATTTGGTGATAAAATACTTGGAAGTTTGAAATAATGTCTATTGTTTTATTCTGATGATGATGGTAGTGATGATGAGGATAATGGAAGTGATGATGAGGATAATGGAAGTGGTGGTGGTGATGATGGTGATGATGGTGATGAATTACAAGTTGTTATGCACAGTACTGTATAATGAAACACCCAAAACATAGAGGGCATGATTATAAATTTTAGGTAAAAGTGGATGTTGTAGCTGTTGATGTGTGAGGCAGCCAGAACAGCCTTGTGTTGTTTTTACTCATGTGTGGTTTTTCTTCAGGAGGACTTGTCCAGGATGGCAACACAATTTTCATGGTTCACTTTCACATTAAGCGTCTGTGTGGCGACTTGCTCCCTGATGCCGTGGCTCTTGTGGATGTCTTTGCACCACCAGACTTCTTCATACATTCAGCACTAGGAAATGCTGATGGAATGGTGAGGGTATACTGCACTTTTTATAATTACATTTAGTACCACTTTGTAGTATAGTACCAAGTACAACATAATTTATTTGGTAATTTTCTGCCAATTTGTCAAAGTTTGAAAAATCTCGGACTCTGAAGAGATTCATAAGTACGACATTACACTTTACTCCACACTTAATCTCCCTGGTAGAAGACCTACGGGGTTCAGACACAGTGTAGGATGACCAAATTGATGAATGCATTTGTAAAGAACACGAAATGCAACATGCCAGGAATGAAAACTTATAAAAAGTTTAGTGTATGTGAGGGGGTTAAAAAGAGTACAGCATGCCCTTCAAATTCGCTGGGGTTAGGTTCTGAAAATGGCAGCAAATCAGCGATAACATTTGCTGACCTGGGGGGGAAAGTAATTTTTACTTGTGTACAAAGAAATGTATATTCCCTTTATGTGTTTGCCCTTAGGACAATTATTTCATTTACCTGTATTGTATATATATGTGTGTGTGTGTGCCTACACACACACACTCACATATTTACAATACAGATAAAGCAAATTACTGTCTCTAGAATGAATGACTCCCTGTCCCAGCTGCAAAAATGCCAGCAACGTTCAAATTTCCCACAGACATTCTTGGGTACATCCAGGGTGTCATCTGCGAATAATAGAGGACTGCAAAATAAAAATCCGCGAATTATCCGGGCACGCTGTACAGTACACACCAAATGAAAATTATTTTGTATACCACCTGAGTTGTTGTTCATGAGTGTACACTTGACTTCAACAATCCTACATATATAAATTGATGACTTTAAAATTTTAGTATACTGTACGTACATCCTATCTCTTCAACTCACAGGTTTACCAACATCTGAAGAGAGAAATATTCACTGCCCCAGGTGCCTTGACTCGGTCCAAGCACTGGCAAGAGATGAGCTACCGTTCTCCAGCCTCCAAACTCTAGGATACAAGTGATTTAGTAAGACACACCACCTTCTTTCATCACCTACCAGAGCTATCTGTCTGTCATGGATGATCATACAAGTTCCATCTTCTGTACAGGATAACACTAACCTCTTTGTCTCTCATTGCCTGTCCTTACTCTAAAACTGTCACTTGTAAAGTTCTCCAGATTAGTTGTACCAGCCCCTTTAACTTTCCAAATTGTTAGGACTAATTCCCTCACTTGTGCAAGATGATAGAGCCAGTACAGTCTTCTATTGAGAACCAGCATTGTTACCTCTCATGGTGAGTGAGTTGCGAGTCTTCAAGGTGTCTTTGATATATAGTAAAGTAAACCAAACCTCTAATTTCAGTATTAAAATAATTTGTCATGTGAGAGAGTCAGTGGAGACAGCAGGGGTAATCTATTAGTTACTGGGAGATTACATTGTATATGGATGTATTGTAGGTGTAAACGTGCACACAAGAAGTTGCTATATTCACTTACCACGAGAGTCGGCTCTTGCATACATTTATTTCACAGGTAAAGAATTTCCTTAAAGATTTCAAATACACACGTGAAAAAATTTAAAGTGGATCCCATAGGCACGACTGCTCGTTAGGGGCAGTGTGGATACACCAAACTGTATACTGTACAGTGTTAAGCCTTTGGTAAGCAAGGAGGCAGTGTTGCCAGCACTTGTACTCAACCACCTTCACATCCCCATGTAAAGTTAGGTACCCATTTACATCTGCAAGGACTGGTATTATCCCAGAATCAAACCTCCAATCCTAAATACCCAAACTACATAGGTATATTTGGCAAAATATAGAGCAATGCAACAACCCACGAGTGACATGTAATTTCACCATTGTTTGTGTGTTCACATGTAACAAACATTCAAGAAGAAAGGCATGATGGAGAGAACAAAGAGGGATCACAAAACCTTTAAATAACTTATGTGAGAAGCCATCACAACACTATCATGGAATGTGTATAATAGACATTATAAGTGAGCTAGAGACCAGTTCCCTTCCTCCAGGCAGCATCATGGGGTTTGCACAAAAGTCTTGGCCTCATGTACAGTTCTGTATTTATTAAAAACAAGCACCACTAACTTAAGTGATTTACTATTTCATTACTCTACAGTATTTACATTTCCCTGAACTTTGTATAGTAATAAAGGAAATGGTTTAATGTTTGGTGTAAAAGCCATAGGCCTACCAACACAAATCATGCACAATGCTGGCCACTTAAAATTATCTTGAATTATTTATTTCCTTTTCAGTCTTAAAATATTTCAATAGTTTTTCTAGACATACTTACAGTATGGGAGAGAGAGAGATATTTTGTTTAAAGTTTTGATTGTATAATAATTTCTTTTTCTTTTTCCTGATAGTTTTAGTGTATATGCAGTATACTTCTCTCAACGCCCTGAACCTTGTTTACTGTGAAGGTACAGTTATCTACAGTATATGCAGTATACTTCTCTCAACGCCCTGAACCTTGTTTATTGTTTGCTGTGAAGGTACGGTTATCTACAGTATATGCAGTATACTTCTCTCAACGCCCTGAACCATGTTTATTATTATTTACTGTGAAGGTACAGTTATCTACAGTATATGCAGTATACTTTCTCTCAACGCCCTGAACCTTGTTTATTATTTACTGTGAAGGTACAGTTATCTACAGTATATGCAGTATACTTCTCTCAACGCCCTGAACCTTGTTTATTGTTTACTGTGAAGGTACAGTTATCTACAGTATATTTGTAGTGATTTAATGAGAGTCACTTAATAAACTAAAGTACAGTATTTTTAGTGATGGTTCTTAAATATTTTATGATTTTTTTACATCAAAATATGGAATTCATCATACAGTACTAAACATGGTGCAGAGGTTAAATTAATAGGGTAAATTGATCTTAGTTTGTTGTATAGAGTAATGAATACCTGTAATGTAAAAATGTAACATTACTCTGATATATAAAATTCTTAGTGTGTTACAGTGAATGTGGTTTTACCCTCAGTGTACTGTTGTAATAAATTATATTTCATGGATTATGGCACTTTTTATGTTTTAAGGTAATCATTTCTCCCCAAGACACATGTATTTAAACCCCTTAGAAATTTGTGAAGATTTTATATCCAAGTTTGAAGTGAGTGAGTGACTTGTGCATGGCTAGACAGCTCTGGTCTCCACATGGCTGACCTGTTGTCTAGAACCACTGTAACTCAAGTACAGTACTGTATACAGTATAACACTATCTGGCACACACACACATGTATACATACATACACATGTGCATAAACACTGTACACATACATACACACTTGCATATACACACTACACATGTACTACTTATAATAATTATGGTTGCCCCTAAAAATCGAGGATGGCCGGCCCTAGTGCCACCCTAGGGCATGAATAGATTTAAGATGTAGAAGCTGTCGCCAACACAACAACCACACCCTAAGTTAATGAGTTCAGTGTTTAAGGTGCACATAAGAAAACAAGGAGTCTGCAATAGGCCGGTTGGCCTGTGCATGGCAGCTCCTGTTGAGAGTTACTACCACTCTCTATCATCCATGAATCTATCCAGCCTCCTTTTAAAACTTTCCAGCGTTCCATCACTTACTATAAAGTTGCTAAGCTTGTTCCACTCGTCCACCACCCTATTTGTGAACCAGTTCCTTCCTATCTCCCTCCTAAACCTAAACTTATCCAACTTAAATCCGTTGCTCCGAGTCCTATCCTGCTCGGATATTATAAGGACTTTATCTATATCCCCTTTATTGATTCCTTTCACCCACTTAAATACTTCTATCATCTCCCCGCACTCTTCATCCTTCTAGGGAATGCAAGTTTAGTTTCTTTAACCCATCTTGATATGGAAGGTTTCTCAGTCCCGGAATAATTTTCGTCATTCTTTGCTGCGCCGACTCTAGTGAATTGCTATCCATTCTATAATAGGGGCACCAGAACTGAACCGCATAATCGAGGTGCGGCCTGACTAGCGCAAGATATAGTTGCAATAAGACCTCTGCACTCTTGTTACTTACACTTCTAGATATAAAACCCAATACTCTGTTTGCCTTATTTCAAACATTAACGCACTGTTTTCTAGGCCGTAGGTCCGGGCTTACAAGTACCCCTAAGTCTCTTTCACAAGTCGACTTCTCTAGGTTGATGTTGTTAAGGCTGTATACATTGACAGTATTTGTTCTTCCAATATTAAGTACAGTTGTACCCCACTTAACGCGGTCAATTGAACCCAGAGGGTCCCGCGTTAAGTGAACAACAGAACATATGGGATTAATTCCAATAGAACCCAGCCCGACCCCCAAACTCCACTTTTTGACGACACATAACTATGTTGTAGTAAAAATTCTATCTTAACTTTATGATGGTATGAAAAAACAAGTAATATAGAAGAGGTTAGGTTAGGAAAGATAAAGGTTAACATAGGAAAAATAAAGAATAGGTTAAAAAACGAAAAATTTTGTGGAACACTTACGGTAGTAGAAGAGATGGGTCGGCATACGGGGATGGAGGCTGGTTCCGAGGCAGAGGGCAGATTACTGGCCCTCAGGTGAATCACCATTACTAGGTGAATCAACATCACTGTCACTTACAGTTGTCAGGGCTTCCCTGACAAATCCCTCAAAGTCAACTTCACTTTCACTATCACTGGCTTGGGCTGGCTGTGGTGGGTTGCGGGCGAAGAACTCGGTTATGCTTTGCTGACGGCTGGTGTTGATGTTGTCGTGATACACCTTGATGTACGGCTCCATAGCCTGCACCAGTCGGGTATGGAAGACTTCATAGCGTTCATCGTCATTGTCGCGGGAAAGGACGGACTTAATTTTTTCTGTAAACTCTATGACACACTTAATATCACTATGACTTAAACTAGGTTCTTCGGAGAATGACGCACCTTCTTCCTCCTCTTCACTGGCGTGTTCTTCTTCCAACATCTCGTCGGCAGTCACTTCAGGATCTTTGATCACCTCCAGGATGTCTTCGTTGGTGGTCTCGGAGAAGCCTTCAGCTGTAATATTGAGCGCAGCTTCTCTGGCAAGGTCCACTGCTACTGCAACAGTCTGAACCTGACCAGTCACAGGTTCACTCCTCCTCTCACCTGGTATGCCATGCAACACATGTCTCCATGCGTGACGAATCGTAGCAATAGTCAGCAGATCCCATGCCTCCACCAAGAAGTCTACAGCTTGTTTAACGTTAAACTTCTTCCAAAATTGTTTGACGAGAAGTTCTTGAGTCACCGCCTCTTGTTCCTTGTCCTCGTCGCTTTTGCTCTCGCTGTCGGTGTCACCCAGCTTACGCAACTCATCCTTGGTGTTGGTAGAGTCGTTCAGGAGCTTGAACTTCTTTGCAGAGTACGCAGCTTTCACATTGCAGATCAACTCCTGGTCCATGGGCTGGATTAATGACGTAGTGTTGGGAGGAAGGAAGACCACTTTTACGTTGGGGTGACGATCCATAAGTAGGGGCGAGTGTCCAGGTGCGTTGTCAAGGAGCAACAAAATATTGAATGGAACATTCTGTTGCTCGCAGAATTTCTGCACGTCAGGAACAAAACAGTTGTCAAACCAGAAGAGGGACAGAGAAGAGGACATCCACGCCTTACGTGCGGTTAGCCAGTGGACATTAAGCTTGTTCATGTCCATATTCTTGTAGGCGTGCGGCTTGCGGGCTGTGTGAATCACCGATAACTTTGGTTTACAGGTACCGGAGGCATTGGTGGTAAACAGGACGGTGATGCGTTCCTTCTGCAACTTCCGACCCCTTACCTTGCTGGCAGACTGGACAACGAAGGTCTTGGAAGGTAACTTTTTCCAGAAAAGACCAGATTCGTCCATGTTAAACACCTGGTCGTCACTGTACTGTCCTTCCTCCATAATCTCACGTAAAAACGGAGGAAAATCTCTAGCCGCCACACGGTCAGCACTCGCTTCCTCACCACCAATGTTGATGTTGGTGATCTTGTTCCTCTTCTTAAACCTATGCAGCCAACCAGAGGAAGCATTGAAGGGTTTGGGCTCTGCAATTCCCAGTTTACGTGTCACTGCTGCGTATAGCTCACGTGCGTACTCCTGCACTGAGCGCGTGTCCACCGCCATGTTGCGTCGCGCCTGACGCACCAAATAACTCACCAGCAAATTTTCCACTTTTGCCAGCACCCTGTTCTGGCAATACCTGATAGATGAAGCACCTGCAGACTTTGTGATTTTCATGTGCTCTTTGATCTTGGCTGCATCCTTCTTGATCGTACGAATCGTAGATTCGTTGACGCCATGCTGGCGCGCGAGATCAACTTGCCGTCTTCCTTTCTCCAAATCTTGAACAATTTGGTACTTCACCTCGTAGCTTAATGAACGTCGTGTCTTCTTTGGCTTAGTGCCGCTGGGTCCAGGTAAGGAAAGGTCTCTCTCTGGGGGCGATGGTGGTCCGGCGGAAGCCATTTTACGGAACAATGGATGCGCGTTAACACGGGGTGGCCTTGAGGGATGAAACTGCCGCGGCTAGGTCAAGCGTCGTCTCTCCTCCCTCCCTCCCTCCCTCCCCGGGGTGGTCACGTCATAATACTTTAAGCCAATTACAGCTAGCAGCAGAGGGGGGTAGGGATGCATGGCCAATCACAGTCCGATACGTCATATGACGTCAGTGATAACGCAACAAAGACACACTGCGCAACCTTACCGCGCGGCTTGCCCAAGCGGAGGGAGGAGGAGGGAGAGGCGAGGAGCACAGACAGGCAGGCAGGCGGGCGGGTGGCGCGTGGGCAAAATCTAAAAATAGCATCTCGAGCCAGACACTCACCGCGTATATGTGGAAAAAATCCGTGTTAAGTGAAAGTTCAGCTCTGGCAAGGCACCGCGTATATGCGAAAACGCGCTAAGTGAAACCGCGTTAGGCGGGGTAATACTGTACTCTGCACTTGCTGGTGTTGAATTTCATTTGCCCTTCAGTTTATTTAAATCCTCCTGTAGTGCATTTGCATCCTGCCCTGAATTAATCTGCCGCCCTATTTTGGTGTCATCCGCAAACTTGCTTATGTCACTGCTGATCCCAGTAACTAGATCATTTATGTAGATTATGAACAAGAGTGGGCTTAGTACTGACCCCTGGGGAACCCCACTGGTTACACAGCCCCACTCAGATTTAACACCATCTACGCGTTCTGTCGGTGAGCCATGATTTTATCCAATTTAAAACTTTCCCTAGAAGCTGTCGCCAACACAACAACCACACCCTAAGTTAACGAGTTGCATGACCCAGTGTCAAGAAATAGTCCGAGAAGACCGGACAACTCACCAACTGCACTGGCTAACCATTACCCCGGAATACTATCCGCAAATCGATTAACATCCTGGTTCCCAATTACTGCTGGGTAGACAGAGGCAAGTGGCGTAAAGAAACTTGCCCATAGTTTCACCCTGCCTGGGATCGTACCCGTGTCCGTCACTTGCAAGGCGAGCATGCTGACCATTACACCACAGGTCGCACACACGTATGCATTAAAGATACATTTTTTCGTGCTAATTTAAAATGTGAAACTCGTCTTTTACGGCGGCAGCACCCCCAGGGGCAGGGGCGGCAGCACCCCGAAGGGCCCTCTCACGGGTGATGGCACCCCCAGGGGCAGCGGCTCTCCCAGGGGCGGCAGCACCCCGAAGGGCCCTCTCACGGGTGATGGCACCCCCAGGGGCAGCGGCTCTCCCAGGGGCGGCAGCACCCCCAAGGGCCCTCTCACGGGTGATGGCACCCGCAGGGGCACAACCAGGGGCGGCAGCACCCCCAAGGGCCCTCTCACGGGTGATGCAGCACCCCCAAGGGATGGTGATGGCACAACCAGGGCAGCTCCCAGGACGCACCCCCAAGGGCCCTCTCACGGGTATGGCACAGGGGCACAATCAGGGGCAGCGGCTCTCCCAGGGGCGGCGGCACCCCCAAGGGCCCTCTCACGGGTGATGGCTCCCTAGGGGCGGCGGCACCCCCAAGGGCCCTCTCACAGGTGATGGCACCCCCAGGGGCAGCAGCACTCCCAGGGGCGGCAGCACCCCCAAGGGTCCTCTCACGGGTGATGCCACCCCCAGGGGCAGCAGCTCTCCCAGGGATGGCGGCACCCCCAAGGGCCCTCTCATGGGTGATGGCACCCCTAGGGGCGATGGTACTCCCAAGGGCCCTCTCAGGGGTGGTGGGACCCCTAAGGACTCTCCCAGGCATGGCGGTGCCTGCCTGGGGTTCTCCCAGGGGTAGAGGGGCCCCCCAGGCAACCTTCACAAGGGCGGCGGTGCCCCCAGGAGCAGCGGCGCCCCTAGTGGCTTGATCATGGTGTCGTACATATTGCATACGTCCAGCAGTCCCTGACTTAACAGTGATTGGTGGACTAAAATATAAATCCACCAAATTACAGCCAATAGGAGAACACAGCAGTCAGTCAGCACAACACCCCAACTTATGTTTTCCTGTTGGATATTTCTTCTCCTTTTCATTGTTCAGGATGCGATGATAGTTCTAAATAGTGCAAAAAAACTGACCCCAGGGGACCTCCTTAAGGGCAGCGTCAGCGCCCCCAAGGGCCCCCCAGTGGCGATGGCACACCTAGGGACTCTCCCAGGGGTCCTTCCTAAAGCGGCGGCACCCCCAGGGGTGCTTCCTAAGGCGGCGGCACCCGCAGGGGTCCTTCCTAAGGCGGCGGCACCCCCAGGGGCCTTCCCAGGGGCGACGGCGCACCTAGGGGCCCTGCCAGGGGTGGTGGCTCACCTAGGGGCCCTCGCAAGGGCGGCAACCCTCAGGACCCTCCAGCTGCTCTAACAACAGCGGTGGAGCCCCCTGGGGCCTTATCAAGGGCTGTGGAACCCCCAAGGCCCCTTCCAAATGACCGCGACCACCACCAGGTGACTGAGGCTACATCACCACCACATACTACAGTAGCACCAGCTCTGTAGACCACATACTACAGTAGCTCAGTTATTTGTTAAAAAATAAGTTTTTCTATATATTAAAATTTCAGTGAATAAACTTTAGATTAATCACCCTAATACAATCTGACCCCAGACATCTTCTGGCTTCTTGTGTTACACTCCTAGTCCTATTACATTATGTACTATATAATAATCTTGTACCTGTAGTTCATACCCTAATGTGTACTTTATTGTATTACAAATATTGTTTCTCTTGTTTTCTGGTGTAATGTATTAATAAAGCCTCCAAGTACTCAACTATAATATACATAATGTATTAATAAAGCCACCAAGTGCTCAACTTTAGTATCCATAATGTATTTTTACTGAACATGTGATGAATTCCCAATAAAGATGAATGAATCAGTCGAAATTGTGTCTGTAAAACCTTATTGAGACGTCACATGTAAATTAATGGACTGACAGCATAAAATAATGACATTGTTAATAATAATAAAAATACAATCGTTTTCAATATGTTAATACTGTAGTGGATTTCTCCCCTACAAACGCTGTTTGTCGCTGAGTAGCCGACCCATTGAATTCGCCAGTGTATGCCTCGTGGTCTGGGTCAACCAGCGCCGCCATACATCACGGAGGTCAACTATTAAGCCACGCCTACCCCCACTATTTAAGACCTGACCTCGTGGTGACCACTCTCCTCTTCTAGCTACAGCCGCAGCAAGCTACACCTCCTCCTCCGCCTGCCTGGCGGTCCTCGCTCCCGCCGGCGAGCATGGCGACCCACAAGCTGTCCTTCTCTGAGCGTCCTCACCAACCAGCTCTCTCTACATCACGCTTGTAACCATGCTGCCTTCCCAGCACCAAGCTGTATTGTACATCCAATACAACATGTATACAGAGAGCACATTGTGAGTTTCCTTTCTCCATCCCATCCTAAGCGAACCCAAACAACTCATACCCCACAATACTCCTAAAAGCTGTTAATAAATAAAGCACATTATATACACAATAAAAAACTCGTTAAAGAATCAATACAACTGCCCGAGAGTAAGCTGATAAGAGCTAAAAATATACATATAACAAAAAATAAATACAAATAGAAGTACCATGAATAGTAAGCAGTACTCTTAACCACTGAGCCATGATAGGCTTCCAGTGGTTATACCTTAACGTCATTATTAAAGCTCAAGAAACTGGATGAAAATAGTTATTTGCAACCCAAGTGACACTACGAGAGCTCAGGCCTCCAATTGGTTAAATAAACTGTTTCAATATCAAGTGTAGACGAGCTGCTCTAATCCTGCAGCTCACAGAGTTGGCAGAGCATATGACCTATAAGAGAATAATAAAGGTATATACTATTCACTTACGTTTTAGCCCAGTGGATGAGACTCCTTCTTGTTACATACAGAGGTCCGAGTTCGATACCCGACAATTCTGTTTTATTTCTCTTTTTTTTTTTTCGTTATGAAGAACTATTATCGATATGTTATCCCCTAAAAGTTAATTGAACGATGAATTCGAATTGTTTCAATATACAGTATATTCGAGCTGCCCCAACCCTTCAGAGCAGTGGGGAGGGCACCTGAGGTATAAGAGAGAGATCAAATTCTTAATATTACGTTATTCGTCGTGGTCTAGTGGATAAGAGTTTCACCTCCCACTCATCAAGGCCCGAGTTCGATTCCCGGCATATCTGTTTTTGTATTATTATTTCTCTTAGTTTTTTCGTTATGGGACACTATTTTTGCTGTATTGTTCCATAAAAGTTAATCAAAAGTGAAATTGGACCATAAATTTGACGTTTTTACGTATTTTAACGTATATTCATGTTCGAAGCTTCAAATGCTTCAATGAAACATCAAAATGATTCAATGAAGCTTCAGTGACGTCACTGTGAACCCTCGCATATAAGGCCTCGAGTAAAACATTTCTGTCATTTTTCCTCAACAATCATCACCGACTGGTTACAGCTGACACCTGCAGGTAAAGCCAACACTCCGTACCTCTAGTCTCCATTAATATCCGTGTAATTTATTTTCCCGGGCGAGTATATGCGCAGTGACCAATAGAAATAGTTATTCCTTGGATATAGTTTAATAATAATGTTTAATATAATTAATTGTGACGTTATAAGTGTGCATTTAAGTCAATAGTTGCCGGCCGGTTGTTAGCAGTTTTGTTACCTTGTAAGATCGCACCCCAAGTTTCACTGGGCTGCAAGGCCTAAGGTATCCACCTTGCAGTTTAAACAAATAATATGGTTTAGTATTATATTAAGTGCTACTCCGCCAGTAATTTCTTTAAGTTTAGGGCAAATATTCCGCCAAACGAGCCATGACAAACGAGCCTGAACTATAAGCCGGTAACGAGCGTAAACCGTATGTAATTATTTACTTAATAATTACCCAACAATAGAGTACAATGACCACATTAAGTTATATTATACATAATTTATTTAACATATTCCCACTACTTCGAGGCCCAGCCCACTTTTGGTGGAGTCGTGTGGCCATAACTCAATAATTACACATTTTCCCAAACATTCGTCACCACCACTGTATTCGGCATTAAAAACTGCTCTAAAATTATTTAACAAATATAACGGGTTTTTTTTAGGAATAAATTGAAGTTATTTCTTAACATTTACTGATATTTTTATTTAATAGTTGGTTGCTTGCACTTTATCTACGATTTCTGGAATGGTTGGGGGAGCGGGTGTTGTGTGGGGTGGGGTGTGTGTGCTGGAGGTTCTGGGGACTGTGTGTGTGTGTGTGTGTGAGGGCTCGGGAGGTTGTGTGTGTGTGTTGGAGGGCTCTGGAGGACTGTGTGTGTGTGTTGGAGGGCTCTGAAGGACCTCTGTGTTGGAGGGCTCTGGAGGACTGTGTGTGTGTTGGAGGGCTCTGGAGGACTGTGTGTGTGTGTTGGAGGGCTCTGAAGGACTGTGTTGGAGGGCTGGAGGACTGTGTGTGTGTTGGAGGGCTCTGGAGGACTGTGTTGGAGGCTCTGGAGGACTGTGTGTGTGTGTGCCGGAGGGCTCTGGAGGACTGTGTGTATTGGAGGGCCGGAGGACTGTGTGTGTGTGTGTTGGAGGGTTCTGGTGTGTGTGCCGGAGGGCCTGGAGGACTGTGTGTGTGTATCGGAGGACTCTGGAGGACTGTGTGTGTGTGTGGAGGGTTCTGGGGACTGTGTGTGTATGGGACTGTGTGTAGGGGGCTCTGGAGGACTGTGTGTGTGTGTGTGTGTGTGCGTTGGAGGGTTCTGGGGGACTGTGTGTGTGTGTGTTGGAGGGCTCTGGGGGACTGTGTGTGTGTGTGTGTGTTGGGAGGCTCTGGAGGCTGTGTGTATGTTGGAGGGCTCGGGAGGACTGTGTGTGGTTGGAGGGCCTGGAGGACTGTGTGTGTATCGGAGGGCTCTGGAGGACTGTGTGTGTGTGTGTTGGAGGGTTCTGGGGACTGTGTGTATCGGAGGGCTCTGGAGGACTGTGTGTGTGTGTGTGTGTGTGTGTGTCGGAGGACTCTGGAGGACTGTGTGTGTGTATCGGAGGACCTGGAGGACTGTGTGTGTGTGTGTGTTTGAGGGCTCTGGGGGACTGTGTGTGTGTGTGTGTGTGTGTGTGTGTTGGAGGGCTCTGGGGACTGTGTGTGTGTGTGTGTGTGTGTGTGGAGGGCCTGGAGGACTGTGTGTGTATGAGGACTCTGTGTGTGTGTGCGTTGGAGGTTCTGGGGACTGTGTGTGTGTGTGTGTGTGTGTGTGTGTGTGTGGAGGGCTCTGGGGACTGTGTGTGTGTGTGTGTGGGAGGGCTCTGGAGGACTGTGTGTGTGTCGGAGGACCTGGAGGACTGTGTGTGTGTGTGCTGGAGGCTCTGGGGACTGTGTGTGTGTGTGTGTGTGTGTTGGAGGGCTCTGGGGACTGTGTGTGTGTGTGTGTTGGAGGGCTCTGGAGGACTGTGTGTGTGTGTGTGTGTGTGTGTGTCGGAGGGCTCTGGAGGACTGTGTGTGTATGTTGGAGGGCTCGGAGGACTGTGTGTGTATGTTGGAGGGCTCGGAGGACTGTGTGTGTCGGAGGGCTCGGGAGGACTGTGTGTATGTTGGAGGGCTCGGGAGGAGTGTGTGTGTGTGTGTGTGTGTTGGAGGGTTCTGGGGACTGTGTGTGTGTTGAGAGCCTGGAGGACTGTGTGTGTTGAGGGCCTGGAGGACTGGTGGTGTGTGTGTGTGTCGGAGGGCTCTGGAGGACTGTGTTGAGGGCCGGGAGGACTGTGTGTGTGCTCGGGAGGACTGTGTGTATGTTGGAGGGCTCGGGAGGACTGTGTGTGTTGGAGGGCTCGGGAGGACTGTGATGACTGACACATGTTAGATGATCTTGGAGTCCTAATATTATTAGATGTAGTGACTTGGAGAAGCTTAATAAAGTTGTATATAAATGTACAGGACTAACTGCCAATTAGATACAGTATTATAGTGAGCATTGGTAGTAGTAAAGTGATTAATATAGTAAGTAAAGCTGGTTGACTGTAGGTGGGTTTCAACTAATAACTTAAACTAACCTAATCAGCCCGACTTGGATGAAATGTAACTAACCTAGACTGACCCCAAATTAATAAGTTACATATTATACAGTATATATTTTATATAACAATAATAATGTAACTTCTATATCTTAACATTTGCCACAAGTTAATTGATCATTAATTAAGAGAGTTAGTGTTGAAGTTTGAAAGAATTTGACTTGTTTGAATTATTAAAAATCAATATCTTGTGTACTGTACAGTTTCCTTTACAAAATCTCATAATGTACTGACTTTATCCTCAGGTTAAGTTGGCCAAAAGTGACACCATACTGAACCTCGGGAACATAACTTAAAATGTCAGAACAGGTAAAGTTTACTTACTGAAAGTTTTATTAAGGGAAGCTTATGAGACTTGTATGTTGGGAGGGGGACTATATGGCGTGGGGGATAGGCTTGTGTATTGGCATATGGGGAGAGCAGGTGTATACTATAAGTTGGGTGTAGTGGTAAAGTTTATCATTCAAGTTTGATATGACCAAGTTGTTGAGGGGAACACCTAAGGGGGCTTGAGGGGTGGGAGGAAGGGTTCAGTAGGTGAACTGTGGTAAACCTTGTGTGTTGTGTAAGAAGCAGTGTGGAGACGTTTAGTAGTGTAGCAGTGACGGTGGAGGCTTGTAATGATTGGCTATACTGTTGTGGTAAATGTTAGTTGTTGAGGTATTAAGTAACTAAAACACAAATGCATATTAAAATTAGATCTTTTGTAGATAAAGTGCTTAAGTAAACAATTGGTGACAGTATAAGTACAAGTGGTCTGGTGGTAGATGGATATTGTATGTTTAGTATTCATTGTACATAAATTACAACTTTAATCATGTTGCAGGTGACAGCTGA